ATTAAAATTTTTACTTTTCTGTTTTTAGTTGAGAGAAGAAGGGGGGTACTCTGTGTCTGTGTGCATATATGCTTATGAGTATGGGTGCTTGAGAGACCAAAGGAAATCTCCAGATCCCCTGGAGCTGAAGTTATAGGCAGTTGTATGTTGTCCAATGTGGATGTTGAGAACCTTGGCCAGGTCCCCTTCTGTTAAAGTCCTTTTTTCTTTTCTTCTTTTAGTCTTCTCTCATATAATGCATACAGACCACAGCGTACCTTTCCTCTATGCCTCCCAGCCCCTCCTCTCTCCTCTTCCCCAGATTCACTGCTCCTCCATTTCTCTTCAGAAAAGAGCAGCCCTCCCAGTGATATCAACCAAACACAGCATAGCAAAATGCAATAAGATTAGGCACAAATCCTCATATCAGAGCTGGACAAGGCAACCCAGTAAGAGTAAAAAGGTCCCATGAGCAAGCAAAAGTCAGGGGCACCCCCACTCCCACTTTTAGGAGACCCATAGAAGCCCCAAGCTAAACAACTACAGCATATGTGTAGAGGACTTAGCACAGATCCGGACCAGCGATATTGCTATACAATTTCCCCCACTCCCCTTCCCTCCTGCCTTCTCCCCTCCCACCCTCTCCCCTGCCCCCCATTCTCCCAATTTACTCAGAAGATCTTGTTTTTTTCACCTTTCTAGGGGGTCCGTGTATGTCTCCCCTAGGGTCCTCTTTGGTACCTAGGTTCTCTGAAGTTATGGCTGCCTATAGGCTGGTTGTACTTTGCTTTATGTCTAATACCTACTTATGAGTGAGTGTCTTTCTGGGGCTGGGCTACCTCACTCAGGATGGCTTTTTCTAGTTCCATCCATTTGCTTGCAAATTTCAAGATTTCATTGTGTTTTTCCGCTGAGTAGTACTCCATTGTGTAAATGTACCACATTTTCCTTATCCATTCTTCGGTTGAGGGGCATCTGGGTTGATTCCAGGTTCTGGCTATTACGAATAATGCTGCTATGAACAGAGTTGAGCAAACATCCTTGAGACAAGTTCTTTCTTGTGTGTATCTCTGACTATCCAGGAGAACTCACTCTGCAGACCAAGCTGCTCTTGATCTCGGAGATCCACCTGCCTCTGCCTCTGGTGTTCTGGCATGCCACTTTGGTCCCAGCACTCCAGAGGCGGAGGCAAGGCTCGTGCCACCATGCCTGACCACACAGAGAATTTTTATAAACTCTCAGTTCCATCAGGCTTTCATTCCATTGTGCAAAAGCTGCTGTTACTTCCTGGGATCTTCATCACTTCCTTGTTGTGGTTTTTAATAACTTGATGTCCTTGATTTAACTAGGAGTTTCAAATGTTTACTCTCCTCTCCCTCTCCTCTCTCTCTCTCTCTCTCTCTCTCTCTCTCTCTCTCTCTCTCTCTCTCTCTCTCTCTCTCTCTCTCTCTCTCCCCCCACCTTGGTTTTGGATTTTGGGTTTTCAAGACAGAGTTTCTTTGTGTTTCCCTGTCTGTTCTGAAACTTGCTCTGTAGACCAGGCTGGCTTCGAACTCACAGAGATCCTCCTTGCCTCTGCCAAGAGCTGGGATTAAAGGCACGTGCCACACTGCTCAGCTTACTCTCTTCTCTTGACAGGCTTTTTATTCTTTTAAAAACATGTTATTGCTACGGTTTTTATTATAATTGGTGTGTGTGCGCACATGATGCATGAGTGGGCATGATGTACATGTGTATGTGTATGAGTGTGCATGATGCATGTGTGTGTGGTGTGTGTGGAGGTCAGAGGGCAACCTTGTGGGGCCTCTGATCCATAAGGTGCCTTTACTTCCTGGGTCAGCTCTCTGGCATGCTTTGTCTCGATGCTTGTAAAATTATGCTTATTTTCTTTGGAGGTATAAAGTTTTCAGCTAAAATTATAAAATCAAAACAAAATTAAAAAAAACCCTTGTGCCATCCTCTAGAAGTCATCTAGATGAATGAACCTCTTATAACACTCTAGGAACAGAGAACATGTTGTAAATTGCCTGAATTTAAAGATGGTGGTTCCTGCCCAGAGGCCCAGCACTTGAGAGGCCAACAGGAGGTTTTCCATCAGTCTGAGGCCATCCTGGACTACAGAGTAAATCCCAGGCCAGCATGGGCTACATAGTGAGTCAGCCTCTCTGTCTCTGTCTCTCTGTCTCTCTCTCTCTGTCTCTCTCTGTCTCTCTGTCTCTCTCTCTCTCTTTCTCTCTAACACACACACACACTCACACACATTTTTCTTTAAAAATAAAAAACAGTTCTTTTAATTTATTTTCCAGATGTTTCATCTTGTATGTTGATATTTGTATCCTGTAACTTTACTAAATTTGTTAATTAGTACTAATGTGTGTGTATTTAATCTTTGGGATTTTCTGTATATAAAATAATGTTATTTTTCAAACAGTTTTACTTATTCTACCTCTCTCTGAAAGGTTTGTGTACCCTAATAGTAAGTCTCTTCACCAGTGCAATAAACCAGATCAGGCCAAATTAAAAGTCCAGGTTTAATGACCCGGGTAGTCTGGGTGGGGTTTGGGAGGGGCAGGAGGAGAAACCACATGGCAAGTCAAGGTATCAAGTCTTAAATAGCCTATAGGCGTGGCCTGAGCATCACAGTGGGAGGAGCTGACCTTTGGTGGGCTTTCTCAGGGTCAGGGTCTGGAATGGGAGGAGTGAGGCCGGGCAGAGCTTCCACCTGAACATCCCAGACTCCTTGAGTATATGGGCTGATGCAGGTTCAAGTCTGGCTGCTTCCTGCTGGCAGTGGACAACACGGGGAGGAGGGAGTGGTGTCGGTGGGCCCACACTCAGTGGGAGGTAAGTGAAGCATTCAGTTAGCCTGCATTCGGTTCCGTGGGGGAGCTGAGAAGACAGGTTGTTAGGAGAAAAAAAAAATAGATTATTACCACCGGCCCTATGAATGGGGCTAGCCATGGGGAGAGGGAAGACTGCCAGGAAGAACGGAATGGAGATGTGCCGTAGGGCCTAGAAAAGGTGTTCATGTGCGAGGCTCAGAGCAGATGCGCCCTTCATTAGGACATCTTGGAAACCAGGTCCCAGTTGCTGGATAGGTGCACGCTTGAGCCTGGAAAGGTGGTACCAGCACTGATGTCCCAGGAGCCTGGGGAGATGACACGCTAAACCGAGGGATGATGTGATCCGGTAGTACCTGAGTCATCGCATCTGCTGTTCCCCTGGAGGTGGGGAGTGCATCCCTCTTGTAAAACTGTTCACAAGCATCAGGCGATAATAAGTGGGCATGTGGGTGAAATCAGCCTGCCAGTATCTGCCCAGTTGGTATCCTCGGGACTCCTGCAGGGGGGCTGGCATATCTGGAGGGCCCCCTGTGGGTTGAGCTTGGCACATGCAGGTACCTAAAAAACAGCTGAAGTAGATGGTTCCTTTGGTGTCATAGCAAAAGGCTATGGCTTTGGGTTAAAAGGCATGAACATTTTCCCTAGAGCCTGGCTTCAGTCTGATAAAACACACCTTAAGTCTAAATTCACTGAGCAAAACAAGCTGAGTGAGCGGAGGAGGAGGGGGCATGCCTGCAGGGTGCTTTATGCTCTCAAATGCTAACCTGTCTCTAAAAGCTGGGACCAGTAAAATCCACCGAAATGTAAGGACTCCTGAAAACCGTTTGTAGTCAGTGCTCTACCAGTTCATCAAAACGGTATCTATCAATGCTAAAACACTGAACGTCTGCGGTTACTTCTGAAACCTGCTTATCCTGTACCATGAAGCCTGTGAACATGGAAGACCTGTCTGCACCTTTTTTCCTGGTTTTTATTGTTTAGTTTTGGTGTTTTGTTGTTGTTTGGTTTTTCAAAACAGGGTTTCTCTGTATAGCTTTGGAGACTGTCCTGGATCTCACTCTGTAGACCAGGCTAGCCTGGAATTCACAAAGATCCAACTACCTCTGCCTCCTTAGTGCTGGAATTAAAGGCATGTGCCACCAATGCCCGGCACCTGTCTGTACTTTTAACAGGAAATTTAACTAATGTACTAATGAGCTACCAAGCTGGTTATAGCCTTGGTGGGAGTGATGGAGAGAGAGCTGTTAAACTGGTAAGGTTAACAGTACCCTAGCTGTCAAACACCATCAGCTCTGAGAAGGGTAGATTTAAGCAGAAGGGAGACAGTTTTCCAGATACCTGGATCACTGTCCCAGGTCTCTCCATGTTTTCTAGGGACAGATGTCTCAATAGCAGTACTTGTCTTCAGTCCAGAAGAACTGACAGACTTCCTGTGGGGTAGGAATTTGGGGAAAATGGCCGACTTTGACTTGGCGAAGCTGGGCAGTTTCCCGAGTCCTGTCCTTTCAGTCTGGACAGAGTCTTGGCAGCTGTCTACAAGTGCGTCTTGCTGCATGGCTTCCTTTGGCACATTTAAAGCAAGCTTCCAGGTGGCAGCTCTTCTTTGACCATCCTTCTTTGAAAAAGACAGGGGTGCTGCCTGGGACTGGCATGTCTCCCTGTCATGAGAAGCTTTTTGTTAAATGCCACATTCTCAGATCTCAGAAGGATCATATGATCATGCCCTGTTAGGTATATCTGAATTAAACAAATGTTGTTTAGGCTTCACTTTGAGAGCATATATGTTAACCTGAACATACAGTTTACCCAGTTACAGTTTACCAATGTTAGAGAAAACAAGATTAGGAGGAATATATCAATCTCTAGTTTTCAGCTGCAGTCCTGAGCTATAATCATATGGCAAAACCGAGTTTTAACATTGTAAACAATTTAGTGTCTTTTTAACACCAATATCAAGGGGTTTGCTCTTAGGCAACAAAATATGCCGTCAGTAATACATCCTCGTATGTGAGTGGAGCTTTATTACCTCAGGAAACCAGCCAGCATTGTTTTCAATTGTATCTTTCATAAACATTGTTTTATAGTCTTTCCTTCATATATAAAACTGTATATTTTCCACAAGCATGTAGTCCCAGAGTCCTGATGACCATTTTCCCATGGTTTTCCCTTCCCGTCCAGGATGTCCACAGAACAGGACACACAGAACATTGCCTTTGAACATATATTCCTGCACTTCAAAAGACATAAAGTGGCAATTTCAACTGCAATAAAAAAGCCATTTCCTTTTCTTGAGTTCCTCCGTGACAACGAACTCATCACCAATAAAATGTATGATGTAAGTGAAGTTTGTTACATCATAGCCTGATAAACAAGTTCCAAACTGAGTTACACTTTGATGTCTTGGAACCAAACTGGAAGACTGTCAGGTTTTTAAGGTTGGGCTTAATTTTTAAAGAATGATTTCCTTTCTTACTTTATGTGTGTGTGTGGGGGGGTGTTCATGTATGTGTGTGTGTTCACATAGTTGCTGGTGCCCACAGAGTCCAGAAAAGAGCTCCAAATTCCCTGGAACAGGAGTTCCAGATAGTTGTGAGCCATCTGATGTGGGAGCTGGGAATGGAACCTGGTTCCTCTCCAAGAGCTACACAAGCTCTTAACCACTTAGCCATCACTCCAGCCCGGGACTTCGTTCTTGACAAAGAATTATTGACAAAGTTTTCACAGCACTTTGTAGAGATACTAGTTACAATAATAAATGCATCAGTTACAAATCAGATTCTGGACTCAGGCTTAAAATCTGGGTTTCCTGTGAGAGATACTCATCATGTAAATATTTCCAGAAGAGTTCTCTCCAGGAGTTAATGGAAAGGAGAAGCAGAGATCCCAGGAGATGGTCCTGCTTCTTTCTGAGGGAAAGGAGTTCCATGGTCCCTTCTGGAATCAGGTTGAGTATTGTTGAAGATCAGAACAAGGATTCTTCATAGATGTGCAATGTCTTATTCATTTTACACAATATAATCCATGCAATTCAAACTAAACAAAAGAAATGAACAAAATAGAAATCAAACGTGATTTTAATATACTGTTGAATTATTTTATTGAACTGAATTAGTAAAATTTTCAGTGGGTATATTTTATTTAAATAAAAATCTATCTAAAAACTATTTTTATTATATGCATACAAGTCTTTTGTCTGCATGTATACAAAGGCACTACCTGTATCCTTGGTACCTTTGGAGGTCAGAAGAGAGAGCACCAGATCCCTGTGACTGGAGTTACAGATAATTGTGAGCCACCATGAGGGTGCTGGGAATTGAACCCAGGACCTCTGCTAGAACAGCAAATACACTCAACCACTGAGCCATTATTGCAATCCCTCCAGTATTTTTTTTCTTTTTTGCCTTATGACTATGTTGTTCTTGAGTAGAATTCACAGTCAGAGGGAATGGACACCTCATTTCCTACAGGCTAAGTCACTACTAGAAGGAGAGCAGGAGTTGTCCCTTTAACAGAACAACATTGTCCACCTGCCAAGTTAGTTAACCTTTTGTTTGTTTGTTTTTGAAGAATGCACCTATTTTTATTTTATGTATACAATTATTTTGCCTGCATGCATGTGTACATACCACTTGTGTGCCTGGTGCCCATATTGGCCAGAAAAGAGCACCAAATTCCTTGGAACTGGAGTTACAGGTGTTTGTGAGTTGTAATGTGGGTGCTGGGAACTGAAAGAGCAGCACATGCTCTCAACTATGAACCAAATCTCCAGCCCCGCCACACTTAAAAATATTGCATTTATTATTCATTTCCTTTTGAGTATATGCATGTGTTTCTACTGTGTGGGCATATGTGTATGAGCCTGCTGCTGTGCACATGTGAAAGTCAGGGGACAATTTGTTGCTAGGTGGTTCTCCCCTTTCACCCTGTGAATCCTAGTGACTGAATTCAGATCATCAGGATTGGTGGCAAGTGCGTAACCCACTGAGCCATCCCGCCAACCCCATTGTTAATCCTTAACCCTAGTTTTCCTTTCTTACAAAAAGTGTCCTTCTTACATGTCAAATAGATGAGGAAGAGAGCTCAAAGTCACTAGTGAGTATTTTCAAAGAAAAATATTCACTCATGTCCCAAATTAGCCATGCAAATATAAAAATTTTCATTAGAAGACATGTATGTAGGGGATAAGGTACACTTTAAAAAACCTAGATCTGAGGGCTTTCCTGTGACTTGTAAGCATACACTTAAATTTTCTCCAATTTTTTAAAGGATTTTCAAGATTCATGTGCAAACCTGGTCCCTTTGCAAAGAGTGGTCTACAGAGCTCTGGAAGAACTGGAGAAGAGACTCGACATGGTGGTTCTGGGTTTACTGTTCAGTGATGAAAACATGAAAGCATACCCTGATTTGGAACTCATTTTCCAAAGCTTTCAAAATGGTAATTAGTTTAGTATCACCCTTAGATCACAGACCTTCCCCCCCACTTCTCATCAACCATATATTAAGCATCTAGTATGTGTTACATATTGCACAGTGCCATTGGGGATATGGTAGTTTAAAAAGCTAACATATTATGCATTATCACAAAACTTATGTCTAGTAGCTATAGTTGACACCCTCCAGAGGTCTGCCAGTTTGGGGATTTAGACTGACAAGACAATGAGAGTCCCACCAGCATCAGGCTATGTTGTAGAGGACGGGGAGCACTGAGCCCCAGTAGGGTGGCACTGCTGTGTCTCTTCAGTGGAGCCCTTATAATGATATACAGAACAGCCCATTGGGTTGACCACCACCCACCTTGAGTGACAGCTCAGCTGTGGGTTGCAGGATCCACCTTAGTTCAGCACCACATGCTCATAGACATCAACAGTGTGTGAGCCAGGCCAGTTCTTCAACCCCATCCCGCCCATCTGTAGAGCTTGCCCATCCTGAAGCTTCCCTTTAGTGTGTGCCAGATCCCAGCCTTCTATCCAGGAAAGTCCCTCTTTCTCCTTACACTGTGACAGCCTGGAAGCCGTGTTTTGCTTCCATGTTTCTCTGTTTTGACAAATACCTTCTCTGCCTTTTGAACCCTGGAAGAGGAACACAGCTCATAGTGTGTATTCTAAGTTTTTATTCCTGACCTTGAGTGTCTCCTCTTTGTATGGGAAGCACAAAGTCTCCCTTGTGAGAGTCTTCTCTGTCCCAGGACATGATGGGTAGACTTTGTCATGTGGGACCCACTGAACTTGGAGTAACTGAAGTCAAACTGAATTTCCTTTATGTGTAATTTGGAAATGCTGCCCCTTGTCCCTGTTAGAGATCTCTAATGGTTTCCTCCTTTTCTTCCCTTTCCCTCCCATGTCAGTCTTACAGAACAAACTGTGTTCCCAAGGAAGTGACAGAGGAGACCCGAACTCCCAGTTAAGTCTTGACCAAGGTAACGACACCTGGAGAAAGTTTCTTATCACCACAGAGAATGGGAAATAAAGGTGATCATTAGCAGAGTGTGACTAGAGGAAGAAATGGACAAGGCAGGGAAGGGAGTTGGTGTGAGTCTATTGTTAGCTTTTCTGCGCTGGGACAAATTACCCAGGAGAAGCTAGACACTCAAAACTCTGAGGCAAGAGAATTGTGTGTTTGAGGCCAGCCAATTTTACATAGTAAAACTCTCTCAAAAGCAAAAGGGATACCTGAGAATCCAGGTATCTGACTTCAGCCCAGATGGATTAACTTAAGTAAGGCCTATGTTTGGGCATGAAATCAAATAAATGGATGGGGGAAGCAAGCCTATTCACTTCGTGGTACCTGGAAGCAAGGAAAGAAAGGATGGATGCGCCTGTGTCCTTCGAGGGTACACATTCAGTGATCTAACCTGCTTCCACTAGGCTCTGCCTGTTAAAGGTACCGCCATTATGCATTAGAGCCATTCTGAGGGGCAGACCTCTAATACATGAATCTTCAAAGGAGGGGGCACTTGAAATCCAAACTGACCAACCTCTAATGGGATATAGAACCCTGGCAGAGTAACCATGACAACATACAGTCAGCCTGATACCCATAATGAATGAACCTGAGCACAGTGTCAGTAAGCCACATTGAAAGAGACTGACTACTCGGGAATAATTGTAATTTAGAAAAGCCCCTGAAGGAGGTGACCAGTATGGAACTGTGAAAGGCAAAGCAGTATGGTCCATGGTGACATCAAAGAGGAAACGCTCTGTAAGAGAGACGTTCCTGTTTTGTGCCCTTACATGCACTGGTCTCTGTCACCAGATGTATGGTGAGTGGGGTTTTCCCACACCAACCAACTCGCCAGACAACAGCAGGGGGTCTTACGATGTAATTACATTCAGATAAAGGGTTCAGTGCCTTGAGACACTTCCGATGCTGGTGTACAAGTTCCAGGCTGTGACACTTGCTTCTGGTCAACTGGCCATAAATCAGAATTTCCCATGTCCCCACAGGCTGCAGAACATTGAGAGACAGAGAAAGGAAGAGGGAAGGAATGAAAGAGAGCAGAAAGAATAAAGGACAACAGCAGAGAGAGCTGTGCTGCTAGTCTTTGTCGTTGGCTAGCATCTACTCTTGGTTACGGTCTATCCAAGCTGGTATCAAGGATTGGTATCATTTAGGTACCCAGTTTATAGATGAGGAAGCTAAAATTGAGAGAGATGATGTGTGGGGTGTTCATAGGATCAAATGAAACAGCAAGAATTCAGACACTCCAGAGGCAGAGACTGTGTTCTTGGCCATATACTGCTAATCTGATGGAAAGCGTGAACAGAAGTGGGGAAAACAAAGGGAGAAAATACAGAAAGGAATAGCCAGGATGGGAAGAAATTAAGGCTATCACTGACTCACATTATAAGGCCTGCAGGGATGAGCCTTCACATATGTATGGGGAGACTGTTTCGTGAAAGGATGTATAGTCCAAAGACTGCTAGAAACTCAGGTAAGGCCACATGGCAGGGGAGCTCTGGGAACATATGCAAGCATCCTTTAGTTAAGAATATGAAGACAGGTCACCATCTGGTGCTAGGGTGGCCCAGGCAGGACTTCTCTCAGCCAGAGCTGACCCTTGCACTCTACACCCATGACCCGAGTTTGACCTCAAGAACCGGGGAGCTGATGTGGCCACATGGGCTCTGGATTGATGCTTCGAGGTACCCTTCAGCTCTTGCATCATAAAGTCAAAAGAGAACATCCTGTTTCAAATCCCGAAATAAACATCTAATTTCTGTTCCTTAGGACCTGGTGACAGCTGTTCTCAAGGAAGCCTGACCTGGTCACCCTCAGATCCGTCCTCATCTGATGGTCTGTTCTTGTTGACTGTAAACATTGCTGTCTCATCCCATGAGTCCCCGTTAACTTTCTGTTGCTGTGATGAAACACCATAACCAAAAGCCATTTGGAGGAAAACGTTTAGTTTATGTTGCAGCTTGTAGTCCACCATGAAGGGATTTCAGGTCAGGAACTTGAGGCAGGAACTGAAGCAGACACCATGGAGGAATGCTGCTTACTGGCTTGCTCCCCGTGGCTTGCTTAGCCTGCTTTCTTATATATCTGAGGACAACCTAAAAGGGTAACACTGCCTGCAGTGGGCTGGGTCCTCCCATGTCAATCATTAATCAAGAAAACACCCCCATATATTTGACCACAGGCCAATTAGAGGGAGCAATTTTTCTCAATTGACTCCCTCTTCCTAGACAATCCTATCTTGTTTTGTTGACAAAACGAAACTAACCCACCCAGCACACATGTGAGGGTGCTCATTCTTTGCCACAACACTATCTGCATCTGTAGTTTCTCCAAGTTCATTGTTCAAAACCCAGGGTCTTGATCCTCAGGGTTGCCTATAATGGTTGCCTCTTCTGGGTGTCTTGTCCTCATTCCTGGAGTCACAGTTCTCTGCCTATGCCTTGCTTGACTGACTGGATAAAGTCTGCATGCTCTAATCTTGAGTTCAGAGGTGGGCAGCAAGTTATGATGGCCATGTTCCTTCTGTGAGGTAATGTGTTTTTGCCTTTGGGTTCAGCTCCTAAGATCACGGCACAACTAGAAGTCTCACATGGTACCTCTGTTTGCCCTCACTGAGATAACAGGTTGAGAGTCCCCCTCTAGACAAGACATACCACTGGGGGAAAAACCCTTTGATGTTTTATTTTTGTATTTATTTATTTGTTTGCTTGTTTTGTTTTATTGAGACAAGGTTTCTCTGTGTAACCCTTCTCTGTCCTGGAATTGGCTCTGTAGACCATACTGGCCTTGAACTCAGAGAACCACCTGTCTCTGCCTCCCGAGTGCTGGGATTATAGGCATGCACTACCATGGCCTGGCTCCCTTTGATACTTTAATTAAACCCTTGGCCTTCCTTAATTTGATAAATGTTAAAATTATCTCTTATTTAGAATATTCTAAAATTCTAGGCATCAGTTATAATAATTTCCTTTGCTGATATATTGATACAGGTATTCTTGTGTCTATTTTCTCAATAACTTTAAAATGATGTGTCATCCCATTTTTCACAAGATATAAAGTACATTTCAGGGGATCTAATCTTTCATCCAACTAAGTGTTTGGATTCAATTGTGCTTTAAGATCCTGGCAGACTAGGAAGGTCTGGGATGAAGTTCTACCTCTGTGATCCTAGACAGGTTATCTAGCCTCTCTGGGCCCTGCTGTCATCCCCTATGAAAGGATGTGACAGTGGTACATGCTCCAATGGACATCAAGTGACATCATGAAAAGCATCCATACTCGTGTTTGGTACTTCATCTCCATTGTATGCATTTCTTGTTGTTACTGATCCAATTATCAGTGTCATTTGAGTCAGAATCTCAGCTTCTCACATTGTACTAGGGGATTTTCTTCTCTCTGGATATCTATCATGGATACTCACAATGAAATCAATTATTCCTCAGGCTGGAGAATGAATGGCACAAAAGATACCACCCTCGCCCAGGAAAATCAAATTGAGAATCATCAATACTCCAGCCTCCAGATTCACAATGGTATATATGCAATAGGATTTATTTCTTTATTCCATGACTTGTCTTTGGAAACACATCTCTGGCACTTTGGTAGGGTTACTGTGTGGCTTTCATGTGGGATAAGTCATTTAAGAAGAAATTTCTTAAAGTTAACACTTTACTTTAAAATGCTTTCAAAGATTTACTTGTTTTTGTTTTGTGTGTGTGTGTGTGTGTGTGTGTGTGTGTTTTCTGTATTTATGTATTTGTACCATGTGTGTCCCTGGTGCCCTCAGAGGCCAGAAGAAGGTATCAGATGCCCTGAAACTGGAGTTATAAACAGTTGTAAGCCTCCATATGGGTTCCAGAAACCATACCCAGGTTTGTACATGAACAGCAAGTGCTCTTAACCACTGTGACATGACATCTCTCCAGCCACCAATAAGCCACAAACACACACTCAGAAAAAAAATCTTTTCAAAGTGACTTTTGAAATAATTGTTATACATCTTAAAATATTTCATTCAAATTTTTTAACATTTGAAATGTTTAACATTTGAACTTTGAAAATATAGCAATATGTAAGATTGTTCCTCTGAAGGTGCAGAGGGTGGGAATAAGAAGCAATGAATGGGTGGGATTGTGGCTAGTGATGAGCAGAGGGACCAGGATGCAGTGGGGAGGAGGGATGCAGGAGAAATGGGTGAATTCTACACGAGTCTGTGTGGTTTGGAGCAAACCTACCTGGAAATGACATCCTAATGAAGCTAGCGACAGGGATGGATCAATATACAGAAATATCAACCCACCGCCCTGATGGGCCACAGGCTGAACAATGGGAAACCAATGCACATGACCCAGCAGAGACACTGGCTGTGATGCAAATGTGGCTAGGACTGTAATCACACCCATGATCTCAAAAGACACAGGTGCACATTCCATGATAAGGGTTATATAATTAACTTTTCAATTATGTTTCTCTGCAAAGGAAATATTATATGATACTGTACTGCAAATTGTGTTATTTGTTCACATACCATTGAGGTTAGTAGAGTAAAGTGGTCTGGGTAGACAGAATGCCCTATAGGTTCCTTGTTGTGGAAGAGGGGGCATCTTGTGAATTTGTTGGCTCTGGGACTCCTTCCCTACACAGTCCATGCTTGCCTCTGACCCTTACTTCTGACCTCTAGCCCCTGCTGTCTTCCTTGACAACTTCTTTTTCAAGCAAGCTTCCTACAGTATTCCTGACAAGAGAGCCATTTGCAAAAGCTCATAAAGAATGGAGAAAGCAAAGCCCAGGATTCCTCCAGACCTATTTCAGGGCTCAGTGTGCAGTAGATGCACCACCACCCCTCAGTGGCTCCAAGTCCCTCGTGCAGGCCAACCCTGCTCCAGATTCTGAGTACCCAGTCTCCCTGTAATTACCTGCTAGGCTCCTTCAGTCCCTCCCCCAGTTCTCAATCCTCTGTGTCTCTGTGTCTGTCTCTGTCTTCAGGGCTTAGAGGGATTTATCTTTTCCTGGTGGATCTTTATGCAATGAGCGAATAAAATCCTTATGAAACAAAATCTGTTTTAGTTATAAGTTTATGTGAAAATGGACTCTCAGAAGACCTCTATGGAAAAGTACAGATTGACCAAGGGAGAAGAGACACCACTGGTGACAACACTGATGGACTGGAAAGGGACCAAGCAGCCATGTGTCAAGGCCCAGACTCTGAGCCAGAGGGTAAGACGGACTGAATATGAGCATGAAGGGATCTGAGTGGGAGCGAAGGAATGGGCTGGGGTCTGATACAAGAAAGGAAAAAAACAAACAAAAAACTACTTAGGCACATGTATTTTTGTGGTAAAAATACTTAAAATGCACGACCTCAAAGATTTCTTCAGCACAAATGCCTTTCAGGGTGGGGTGGCCATGTGTGCAGATGGGGCTGGAAGTAGGAACAAGAGATGAGCAGCTGGTGAGGAATAAAGACGGAAACTGGGAAAGAGCAAGGCTCTGTGGGACCTCACCTGTGGCCTTTCCATCTTCAGAGTCCTGTGAACTAGAAGTCCACCAGAGTAACAGTGAGTATATACACATAATTGATGTAGGTAGAGACTGCCACGCTGTAACAAGCGCAGCACCTCTTTAACAGGCTGGCTTTAATGCTCTGAGACACGCGCAGTAGAGGGGAATGTCCAATCAATCACGTGATGCTTCCATTTCCAGGGTTTTTGAGGAAACTCTATACTGTTGTTTCCTAATGGCTGTAGGCACTTACATCCCACTCAGGAAATACAGGGCCTTCATTTCTCCACAGCAACACCAACACCAACACCCTTTTCTGACCTCATCAGGCACTGAATGTACAAGCTGCTACGAGGAAAATATTCATCTACAAAGCAAAAATAAAATAAGTGCAAACCAGTTCAAATGTCCAAGAGTCCAATGCCTTCTGCAGCTCCAGGCACTGGGCTGCACTGTCCCTGTGAAAATGAAGGTTGGCTGCCATGCTCCTGTCCCTGTCCCTTGCCTTTATCCTGACACCACATCCCACAACACCTTCTCTCTTTAGGTTCTTCATTTGCTATGCCCTGTCTCTTCGACTTACGTTATTTCTCAAAACCATGTGATTTGGGGAAACAGTTTGTTCTAATCTCTTAAATTTGAAAAATGAGTCAGGGTTTCTCTGTGTAGCACTGGCTGTTCTGGAACTCACTTTGTAGATCAGGCCGACATTAAACTCAGAGATCAACCTGCCTCTGCTTCCCAAGCACTGGGATTAAAGGCATTCATCACCGCTATGTGGATTAGTTAGCATATTTCTATAACAACAAAAATAATACAGAAGAGTCTCATAAGCATATTAATACATACATATTAGTTATATATACCTACATACGTACATATATAAATCTGGGAGTGTTCAACATATTTGAGAATCGAGAAAAGATAGCATGGTCATAATTTCTTTTATATTGGTTACATAAGTAGAGAAATTAATCTAGGTCCTGAAACTAGAGATGCTGGTTGCCTTTGAGAATGTCCATGAGGACAGTATAATGTGTCACCCAGAGGCCTTGGGGTGTCGGTCATCTGCTTTTTTGATGCAAGTGATAGTTTCCTTTGCAACCATGTAAACCCCACTTTTATATATGCATATTATGCCACACTTAAATTTTAATTTTTCTTCATTTATTTTTTGGAAACAGGGTCTTGCTATGTAACCCAGGCTGCCCTTGAACTTAACATTCCTCCTATCTCAGCCTTCCAAATTGTGAGATTGCAGGTGTGTCCTGCCTTGCCTGGTCACTTTTGGTCTTTGAAATATCAAAACCAACAATCTCTCCAAGGATTCAGTGGGTGGAAGGGAGGGAAGAACAGGGTGGGAGTGAAATTGAGGGAGGGGGTCAATCATGGCATTCAAACAGATCTTCTAGAGAGTTAAATGAGAATTCTGTGTGTGTGTGTGTGTGTGTGTGTACACTTGTGTATACACATGTGTACTGGACTGCATGTACATGTGTGCAGGGGCCAGAGGTCAGCCTCTGGTTGTCTTGTGCTTTATCTTCCATTTGTGCTTTTTGGCCTGAACCTCAATGACTAGTCTATACAGTCTGTCTGGCCAGTGGTGCCCTGGGATCCACCTGTCTCTATCTCCTGAGTATAGGGACTTCAAATGGGTGCCACCTTATGTGTCACTTTGATGTGGATCCTGGGAATCGAACTCAGGACCTCATGCTTGCACAGCAAACCTGTTACAGCCTGAACTGTCTCCTCAGTCCCTGAAAATAATTCATTCAATGTAATTTTATTCAGGACCACAGCTACGAAGCCAGGGAACCCAAGTTTATCCCTGTTCCATGAAACTGGGAGACATAAAGCAGGAAAATTCATCATTTGTCTTGGACAGTGAAGAGACCAAACCAAGGACCAGTCACAATCAGGCATCTGAGGTCATAGGTAAGGATGACTGAAAGCATCATTCCACGTTCCCACGCAAGGGGCTGAGACATATCCTCAGGGACCTTAGGGCAGCCAGATAACCGGGGGAGTTAGGGAGGGAAAGAGGCCCAACCAAAGCTTAGCAGAAGGAACTGGGAAAATTGAAGACAGAAATGAAGTTAATAAATGTTGATGCCAGTTATATATTTCTAAAGAAAGAGAAGGCAGGTGGAGGTGGCAGAAGGGCAGTAGTGGTTAATAAGAGAGAAAAACATCAGGGAACCAAAGTTATGTATGAGAAGAGACTGACAGGGAAACATTCCAAGGAGCAAGAGGTCCATCACCAGGTACAGATGAGGAAGACGAGTGATGGGCAGAGACGAGAAGAGAGCTCAGGGGTCAGATAGGAGTGAAGGACAGGGACAGGTGAGGGTGTGGGGAAGTGAGAACCAGAGTGAGGGTGCAGACAAGGTGCCCGTCAGTGGCTGAGGGACCACCTCCATGGAGTTGTGTAGGTTGTTGGCTCACAGCCTTGCAAGGAACGATGTACAGCCTTGAGTTAACTGTTCCTAGTGTTCACACTCAGGTGTTCCCTGCCAGGTGTCACTGCTATCACCCCTAAGATGCTGTGGAATGTTTGATCATACTGTGTGAAAATGTGTCACTTTTTTACTTCACCTATGGAAGGCAGCTTCTGATTGGTTTAATAAAGAGCTGAATGGCCAAAAGCTAGGCAGGAGAGGATGGGTAGGACTTCCAGGCAAAGCTAGGAACTCTGGGAAGGATCTTAGAGGTGGAGATTCATCAGCCAGATGCAGAATAGTTTGGATGTATTGTACTGAGGAGAGGTAATGAGCCACATGACAGAATGTAGACTAACATAAATGGGTTAATTTAAGTTTTCAGTGCTATGCTAAGGCCAAGTATTCATAATTAATAAGAAGTCTCTGTGTCATTATTTGGGAGCTGGTGGTTCAAAGAAAGTCTGACTACACTAAGACACTTAAGGACTTTCTTTCCTTTGTGTAGACCTCAGCATTGAGGATTCTGATGATGGAATCAACTGCTCGGAAGAATCCACCTCTGGCATCTGCCAGTCAGGTAAGGAAGCCCAGAGCAAGACAGGCTGTGGGCATCTGAATCTCAAGCCACTGCTTTAGGATGGGTTTTGTTCTGTGTCTATTCTGTGTGAAGGATCCCTGGGCCCTGTCCTGTGCATTCAATTTTACTTGATCTTTTGGGAAATGCAGGGAAATTGTTGCAGACAGTTTGGGGATTAAGCTTGTCAATTAATGGATTCTATTAGTAGATATAATCCTCCATTGTTAACATGATAGAAACATGGAGAGGTGTGTGTGTGTGTGTGTGTGTGTGTTTGTGTGAAGTGTACCCAGGCATGTGTTAACGTGTACAAATACTGGTGTGCATGTTCATGGAGGTCAGAAGACAATCCCAGGTGCTGGTTCTTACCTTCCACTTTGTTTGAGACTTAGCCTCTTGTTCACTGATGCCTATGCCAGGCTAGCTGGACCACAGTCTTCCAGGGATTCTGCCTCAGCCTCCTGTCCTGCAGTATGAACCCCAGGATTACAGACCCATTCTGCCTTGTCTGACTTCACATCTTGGGTTCTGGGGATCTGGAATCAGGCCCTTATGCTTGTATAACAAGCACTTTAACTACTGAGCCAGTCTCAGTGAGTTTGTTTTTTAAACTAATTATCGTGCTTACTAAGTGTTAGACTCATCCAATTGTTTCTATGGAAAGTAGAAAGCTTTCTACTCCTGTACTGGGAGATCATAATGTTCTCTGAGCAGTAACTTAGTAACTTAGCCTAAAGTCCAAGGACATCTTGTCCAGCTGCCTTATATAGGCAGAAATAGATTCTTGAGATAGAACATCCTGAAACCAAAGTGCTGTTTCTAACACAGTTCTTCATGGTGTCATCACTCAAGGAATGATTATTTGAAATACTTTACAAATAACATGCACTTCTTTCTTTACACCACCCTTAAAGAGCAAATAGAACAGACATCGACATACTTTTTCCTAGTTGAAGAAACCCAATCAAAGACAACATGTGTCTTTGTCTTCTCCAAAGTCTAGTGAATTATTAGACTGGCACCCTGGGTTCTGAGTCATTCCTTTCATAAATTTTGAGATAGGAAGATTTCTGAGTGTGATGCCATGAGCCTGTAATCCCAGAAGTCAGGAGGTGGAGCCAGGAGGTTCAGGAGCTCAAGGTCATTCTTGGTTGCACATAATTCTGTCTCTCTCTGTGTGTCTCTCTCTGTCAAAACAAACAGAAACACATATGCATGGGCACACAGAGAGAGAGAATTAAAAAGTTGGATTATCTCAGCCCTATATGGTTTGTTAGAAGACTTAATATTCTATAGTGTGCCCCTTGGTAATTCCTTTCCTATATGCAGACGATTTTAGGAAAGTGCTTCCTCAGAGAAAACACACTAGGACAAGACCTGAGATAAAATGAAAATGCTTCTTTGTCTTAAGTTTACAAAGGAGCAAACTTTGAAGCAATCACTTCATTCTAGTTGCTCATATGTCTTTTAAAAGGACTAGAAATGTGTTTCAGGTTTTAGGCTATGAACACACCCTGTAAGTGTGACCAAACAACACCTGCCTAAGTTCTTAAATGTGTCCGTGGTTCAAAAGGAAAATATTATGTTTATAGAAATGTGGGAGGTATCAGATCAATGAGAAATGTTCAACATAAGATTTTCAAGGTCTTGTGTGTGTGTGTGTGTGTGTGTGTGTGTGTGTGTGTGTGTGTGTGCACAAACATCATGTCAATGTGTCCATGTGTACTTGTAGAGGTAGGAGGTCAATATCAGGTGTTTCTCTTAAAGAGACATCCACTTTGCCTTCTGAGAAAGGGTCTCTATGGGGGACTGACACTGTTTTGGTAATTTAGAAAGGTAGACCCATGTGGTCTGGATGGGGGCCCGGATTTTTAAGAGGTTTCGGGGCATTTGTAAAATTAGGCAATTTCCTGCTGAATTAGTTTCCTGCTCACAACCAGGGGATTCCAAAGAACTCTACTATTTTGTACAGTGATCAATATCCTTGACATGTTAGAATCAAAGGAAGGAAAGGGAGCCTTAGCAGCCACGTGCTCAAGACACTGGATTACCAGTTAAAATGGTTAGAATTGCACCTTCTGGACTACGGAATGTCCAAATTGAACTGTAATGTCTTGAACTGTAATCCCAGCATTCTCCACAAACCTTGATTCAGCAACTCTAGGGTACCATTTTTTGCACTTAACTCTGGCATGAAAAATCAAAAGTCACCACAGAATGGTTTATCTAGATAAACCCAATTAAAAGATAAAATTAAATATAGCAAAAATATATTAGTAAAAGGACACTGTTTACTCCATAACATTGTATCTAGCAATACTAAATTGTTAAAATAGTGCATTTAGTTTCTGCCTTGGCCTTATAGTTCACAGAGAATACAAGGATAGGATTCCTCTGTCCGTTGATAATACTGTTATTCATCATTAACTTAGAAAGTTTACAAAGAACAATTTGTGCTATTTACATATTAAGCAGATAAAATTGAGTTAAGGCTTGGAGAGATTGCTCAGCAGTTAAAAGCACTTGCTGATTTTGCAGAGAATTCAGGTTTGGTTTCCCTGTGCTCACCTCAGATTACTCACCTCTGTGACTCTCTCTCCAGGGCTCACATCCCCTTTTGATCTCCAAGGACACCAAGCATGCATGTGATACACATACATGTAAACAATCATGTCTAAAATAAAAAAGTTATTATAAATCGTTTTTAAAGCAACTACAGATATCCCTGTCTGAATTATGGTTAAGATGTTGGCATGTGCTTTTTATTGGAATTTAATGAAGAAAGTAGTGTGTGGTCATCACAGAGCCTTAGCAGGGAGGCATGGTAGCTAGGTTATTGCTCATTTATACATGAAAAAACTAGAACTCCAGTGCTCAAAAGCCATGTACCTATGCCTGTAAAGAACTGAAAAAAACAGTCCAGGGTGGTCCCAGTCTTAAGACACAGTGGCTCTGGAGTCTGGTTCAGAAGAAGAGCATTCTTTCACACTGTCCTAGGACCATGGGGGTCATTTGATGTAGAGTCATAGAACTTCACTTTAAATACAAATAATGGTTTTTCTCCCTTTTATCCTACAGAGCCTGTGGATTCCAGAAAATCTCCCACACTCAGAAAAACATGTATGAAAAGAGGTAAGAGAAAATGTGGACTCTTCAAGATAGCTGAACTGTGTGTTCAACAAGAGATTCACTCTTCTAGGTCCTAGTCTTCAAAATACAATACAAATTTGCCTTTAATTTTAGGAAATTCTTCCTTTACTTCTTTATTGGTCAGGCTAACTACTGTAATGGTTGAATCCAAAGAAGTTAATGATTTCAAATAGTAAAGGTCTTTTGATATTTGATAGAAGTTCAATTTTTTACCCTCAATGAACATTCTACAGATTTTCAGATGGAAGAGTTGCCTGACCCTGTTCTCAGTGGTCATCAGGGAGACAGAGAATCCACCATCTTTATTTCATACACCGTAATTGCCTCAAGAGTAAAGCAATGCTGTCAAAACATACTGACCAAAATACAAAAGCCACAGCAGACCCCTAAAGGAGCAAGGAAAAGAATGGTGTGAGAATTTCCTCAACTTCAGGCTTAGGTGAGGAGATGAAATAGTAACCCAGACGTCACATGGGTTCCACGGGTAGGGACCTGCTTGCCCTGGCATTTCAGAGCTTTGCAAATTTATCCTAGTTTCCACCTTCTAGATTTTTCTTCTTTCTTTGTTCCCCAGTCAACATTGTGTCCTACCCACATTTCTGCAGTATCTAAGCATAACACACTCACTCTGTCTGTCTCTGTCTCTGTCTCTGTCTCTCTCTGTCTCTGTGTGTGTGTGTGTAGAGCTGAGAGATGAACCTTAGGTTGATTCTTCAGGTGTCAGTGAACCACTGGTCATTAATGAGACAGAGTTTCTCACTGGCCTGGAACTCACCAAGCAGGCTGGACTGGGGAACTGTCCATCTTAAACTTCCCAGCACTGGGGTTACAAGTGCCACCATAACCAGCTTTCTTTTTTTTTCTTTTTTCTTTTCTTTCTTTTTTTTTTTTTTTTTGAGACAGTTTCTCTGTGTAACAGCCCTGGATGTCCTAGAACTCACTTTGTAGACCAGGTTTGCCTCAAATTCACAGAGATCCTCTTGCCTCTGCCTGGGATTAAAGACGTGGGCTACCACTGCCTGGATCATCTGGGGGGGGGGTATTTGTTTGTTTTGTTTTGGTTTGGTTTTTGGTTTTTCGAGACAGGGTTTCTCTGTGGCTTTGGAGGCTGTCCTGGAACTAGCTCTTGTAGACCAGGCTGGCCTCGAACTCACAGAGATCTGCCTGCCTCTGCCTCCTGAGTGCAGGGATTAACCTGTTGTTGTTTTTTTTAAACATGGATCCTGAATGAAAGTCACTGTGTCATCTGAGTCATCACCTCAGCTCTGTGTTCACAACTCTTCTGAATTCAGAAAGTAAGCCACCCAGTGGTGGCGCATACCTTTAATCCCAGCACTGGAGGCAGAGGCAGGCAGATCTCTGTGAGTTCGAAGCCAGCCTGGTGTACAGAATGAGTTCCAGGACAGCCAGGGCTACACAGAGAAACCCTATCTTGAAAACAAACTAAACAAGGAAGGAAGGAAGGAAGGAAGGAAGGAAGGAAGGAAGGAAGGAAGGAAGGAAGGAAGGAAGGAAGGAAGGAAGGGATTCTTTCAGAAACCTGGAGCTCAGTACTGAGCAGTGAGCTGGGGAAAAGCATAAGCTCTCTGCTGTGGTTTATTCTGACCACACAGCACAGCATACCACAGGCCACCTGGGAGACCATTCTCTCATCTGGACATTTTTTAAATAAAAAGAAATCTGCACTGTCTAAAGAGACCGGGGGCAAGTCCCACTTAGTACCTGTGGCTCCTCCCAGTATTCTCACCCTGCCCCCTACACTAAACCTCTCCCTCCCCCCGAGGGGCTGGGCCTTGGTTCCCTGCCTCCCCTCCTCCCCCCCAGCCGCTGATCCTATATAAGCTCAGCCATTCTGAGCAGCCGGTCTCTTGCTCTCTCTTGGCCATTGCTTGTCTCCACTCCTGCATTTCCCTGCCTCCAACTCCTCTCCCAACCCCACCCCATGACCTGGTTCAATCTGGACCCTTCCAGATGCTTCTGGCTGTTCTCTTCCTGTAGGCGGAGTTTCTCTGTATCTCAGCAAATAACCATTCAGAAGCTTATTATTATTTATAAAAGTTGGGCCGGTAGCTCAGCTGGTTACCAGCTATTTTTCACATTTAAATTAACCCATATTTCTTATTTACCCTTTGCCACGTGGCTGTACCTTCTTCACACACAGCATGTTCCTCCGGCTTCCCTCTGTATCTCCTTCAGCTTTTGAGACTCTGCCCTTCTTCCTCCCAACATCCTGGGTCTGGCTGTCCCAATATACCTCCTGCCTAGCTACCAGCCAGCAAACTCTTTTATTAAACCAGTCAGAAGGCGCCTTGGCAAAGACACATCTTCACAGTGGACAAAAGATTATTCCATAGCTTCTTCCTCATATTTACAATAAACCTCCTCAACCATACCTAACAGCTTCATTTTTTTTCATTCAAAATCATCATGAATTTGAGGCTTAATGAGATCATTGTAATTGACCAGCAGCATTGTTTTTATTACATACAACCGGACCCCTCCGCTCCTAAACGTTGAACTGTGGGGTGATTTGCAGTAAGGACTAAATGACTGTGGGTCTTTGTCCTTTTTAGAAAGAAGGTGTAGCCGGGTCCTAACAGCTCTCGGGGGAAGGGGTGAGAAGGCATGGGCAACAACAGCACCTACATGGGGAGTCAGGTAAAAGGCAAATAGCAATGAGGAGAGCCAGCCGGGCGGTGGTGCGCACACCTTTAATCCAGCACTTGGGAGGCAGAGGCAGGCGGATCTCTGTCGAGGCCAGCCTAGTCTACAAGAACTAGATCCAGGACCCAGGCCTTATCTTCCTACTGACAGGAAAGATAGTTCTACGTTGTTGATTTTCTTTTCCTTTTCCTTTCCAGATACTTCTAATACTGAGAGCTCAGGCGCCAGAAAAAGACTAAGAAAGATAAGAGGTGAGAACAATTTAAAATTCTAGATGAAGCAAATACTTCTCTCTGTAATGAAAGCTTTAGTAAAAAAAGTCAAAAAGTCTTAGCCTGGATTCACATGGTGCTTTTTGATACAGGTGAGTTTGAGCTATTGGCTGTGGCACACTGGTCTCAAAATATTCAATAGTACAAGCTTCTTTTTCACCCAAGAAAAGAGAATGGTTGATTCTGGGTGGAGAATTCACTTAGTTTCACATGATCTAGGGCCCTGGGATCTTAAAGATTTTTGTCTCCCACAATGCCCAAGACTCCATAATAAGCAGAAGTGGAAGCAGATGGTACACAAATAAATCTCAGAAAGGGTGAGGTATTAGAAATGATCACAGAACAGAGTGACCCCCATTGCAAAGTTGGCCTCTGCCCCAGCACTGGGGACAGTTCTGGAGCAAATTTAACCAACAGCTCAGATGAAGGTAAGGTTGACCTGCTGACAGGATTGTCCCTTTGCCTCCCAAGCAGACTGCAGGGCTGTCCTACCCTTCCCACATAGGCTGCAGGATTGTCCCAATCCTACCCATCCCTCTCCCTCACAGGCCAGCAGGACTGTTCCTCCCTGCCCATCCTACAGGTTGGCAGGATTGGGGCCTTCCTACACACTCATACAGGTTGCTGTTTGCATGTGTGTGTTCCTGTGCATGTGTGTAGAGGCCAGGAGTTGATTTTAAATATCATCTTTGATCTCTCTACCTCATTTTTTGAGACAAGGGCATTTCATTGAACCTGTAACTCACTATTACAGCGAGGGCTGTTGGTGAGAGGGCTTCAGGGACCCTCCTGTCTGCATCTCCTCGGCTCTGGGATCATAGATGCTCACTGCTGCACCCAGTTTTTACACAAGTACTGGGGATGTGAACTCAGGTCCTTATGCTTAGTGGCAAACACTCTTTTCCAGTCAAGAATCTCTTGCTGGATTGGTTCCTAAGACTGGAACTGTTCAGGACTTTTCCTTCTTCCTGAGTGCTGGGGAGAAATCTCAGGAATGCCTGTAAAGTGGATCAGGTGTAGAAGATTAGGATGCCACTTAAAGCCGCTGTGACTAGATGCATTTTATCCTAAGTGTCATTACTGCTGTGTATTCTCCAGCAATCCTGGGAGCTCCTTTTTAATTTTAGAAAGTGTAGGAAGCAGGAAATGACTTTAACAGACTGAATCCTATCAACTAAATGTACATACTTATATACTGCTGATGTTAGAGAAATAAATAGTGAAATAATGATTTTTTTTCTACACCCACTGTCATGCCTACTGTGGTGGTTTGAATAGGAATGGCTCCCTTAGACTCTTATATTTGAATGCTTGGTTGTTCTCTAATTGACAAGGATTAGGGGGTGTGACCTTATTGGAATGGGTGTGGCCATAATGGAGGAAGTATGTCAGTGGGGAGTGGGCTTTGGTGTTTCAAATGCTCAAGTCAGGCCCAGTCGTTCTCTTCCTGCTGATCGCTAATCTGGATATAGAACTTTTCAGATACTTCTCCAGCACAATGTCTGCCTGTGTGATGCCATGGTTTCTGCCATGATAACAATAGACTTCTGAATGCATAAGCCAGTCCCAATTAAATGTTTTTCACTATAAAAGTTGTCATGGTCATTCATGGTTTCTCTTCACAGCAATAGAACATGGACTAAGATACCAACTAACACAATGATCCTGTGTTCCTAGGGTCATTTGTAATTGTAAAAGACTTAAAATATAACTAGCCAAACATTGTAATTACAGACACAAATAAAAGTTTCAGACCAACCATTGCCAAATTTAGCATAGTTTTTTGATAGATGCCCTTAGTCACCTAGTTAGATTATATTATGTTATCTCAATGTATTTTTTGCAAGATCATAACAGCCTTAAGATTCAGGAAGGTTAATTCTTGCTATTCCTGTTTTGAGTAGAGGAAAGTAGTGTATAAATGTGTAAGGGTTTTTAAAAAAAAAGGAAGAGTGAGATCTAGCAACCCATGTGTTTCACATGCAAAGGCTATTGTGTGTAACAGGAGGGAGAAAGCTGTGTTTCCATGGACTGAATCCAAAGAGGTAATCGGGAACCCAGAACATTCAGTAGACTGTATCAGAACCTTAGATAACCAAGAAAGTATATTTAATAAAATTTTAATGTAAGGGGATAGAGAGATGGCTCAGTGGATTAAAGTGCTGTGAGAACTAGTGTTCAGATTGTTATCAACAATATAAAAGCCAGGTAGGTATAGCAGCCCACCTGTAACCCCACTGTATGGAAGGCAGAGATGGGCTCCATTGGACAAGATGGCTAGCTAAACTAACTAAATCAGGCAAATTCCTGGGTTCATTGAGAGATCCTGCCTCAATAAATAATGTGGAGAGTTGTGGGACACACTAGAGTCAACTTCTGGCCTCCTTGTGCATGTACACATACATTACATCACACACACACACACACACACACACACACACACACACACACATGGCTGGGGACAAGGTTCAATTGATAAAATTCCTGCAATGTCCTGAATTTGATCTCCAAAGCCTTGTTTGTTAAAACAAAATAAAACCAAAAAACCCTGTGCTATATGTTTATGATCCCAACTCAGAGTAGATGGAGATGGTGGGAGGATCCTTGGGTCTCACTGACCAGTCAGTTTTTCCTACATGACAAGTCCAAGGCAAGGATGTCACCCAAGGCTGTCCCCTGGCCTCAACATGCAATCGAATGTATATCCCCCAGCATACATGCACTCACACAGATCCTTGATATACATTATGTAATTCATATTATATAATACTTTTCATGTGTTGGAGTGGTAGTGGACTTGTTGGAGGAAGTATGTCACTGGGAGGTGGGTCTCAGTGTTTTAAATGCTCAAGCCAGGTCTAGCTCTCTCTCTCTCCATGCACATACATATAAGCACATACATGTGTGGAGAGGGAGAGGGAGAGAGAGAGAGAAAGAGAGAGAGAGAGAGAGAGAGAGACTGAGACTGTGGTTGTCATTAGGGTGGTCAGTTGTAGTGTTCACTGTGGTGGTCAGACACAGTGGTCATTTTGGTGGTCATTGATGTGGTCAATGTAGTTGTCTCTGATTGTCAGTCACAGTGGTCACTTTGGTGGTTATTGATGTGGTCAGTATAGTGGTCATTGACTGTTGGTCATAGTGGTCACTTTGGGAATCATTGATGTGGTCAGTGTATTGTTCACTGTAATGGTCAGTAATAGTGATCTCTGTGTTGGTCAGTTTACAATATTCACTGTGATGGCTCAATACACTGGTTACTGTCAAAGTCATTGATGTGGTCAGTCATAGTTTTCACTGTAATGATCACCTACAGTGGTCACTGTGATGTCCAGTTGTATCATTCACTGTGAGGTTCAACCATAGTAGTCATTCTGTGGATGGATTGATGGATGGATGGATGCATGGATGCATGGATGGATGTTGAAGACAGAAGAAATAAGACCAACAAAAAGAAGGAACAGAGGCAACTATTTTGTATAATGATTGACAGAGAAAGAATAGGAGTGAACTGAGCATCACTAACAAAAAACAACACAGGAGAGGGGAGACATGAGAAAGTTGGGTTGTTACAGAAGAGGCAGAAGAGCAGGCAGGAAGTGTAGCACAATGAGGTATGGCCTAAAAGAAAAGACTGGACCTCTGTTGGATGCAGGTATAGTCACTGAGAGCCTGTATTTTTCTCAGCTCATTTGAGAGCCAAACATGCTGCAGGATCATGTTTGGGGCATTCCTTGGTCTCACCTCCACTCTTAATCTATCATTTCATCATATATGATGAATCCAAACCTCTTAAACGGCTGCAGGGAGAGAGTCAGAAGGGAAGCAGCCTATTAGGTATGATGGAGAAGTTAACTATAATGCCTTGATCTTTGTTTTCCTGTGATATGACAGTGAGAGGGGGCTTTTCCTTCATTTTCTTACTTTTTCCCCAAAACATGTATACACAAAAATATTCACAAAGATACCTGCATGGACTCTGTCTTTAACAAATTTGAGGGAGCCAAAAAAGACCGAGCTGGGTTCCTTGCTAGAGTCGGGGACTACTTGGCAGGTGATGTAAGGAGAAAGAATAGGAAAGGTGTGCCTCTCAGTTGTACTGGAAACGGGGAGATAGATAGTCTGAGACTGGCAGGTGTGCAGCACAGAATTAGCACAGGGACTGACAAAGGTGGCAGAGATGATGGTGTGTTCAGTGTCAGAAGCGCTGGCATTTGGTTACTACGATAGTGATCTGTGAGGCAAAATAACAGATATGATGGAAACAGAGATAAAGACAAAGATTGACATAAATACAGCCCCTAAATTGAGATCAGAAAGGGGGATGGATGGATGGATGGGTGGATGGACAGATAGATATAGATAAATAGATTTATTTTTCTATGACACCTCTCATCCATGATGTTTATGGCCAAGATAGCTCACCTTTTTCATATCTTAAGCTAATTACAAAATATGAACAATTATCTCAACAGTTCAGTGAGAATTCTTGTATTGTGTGTTTGTTCCCCTTCAGACAAGCCTGCCTGTGTAGCCCAGGTTGACCTCAAACTCGTGATCCTCCTTTTACTTGTATCTTTACTTACTAGATCACACTTCCAAGAGGTAGATTTCATCAGAGGTTTAATCCATTATCATCATGGAGGGACATGGTGATATGCAGGCAGATATGGTGCTGGAGAAGGAGCTGAGATTTCTATATCTTGACTCATAGGCAACAGGAAGTGGTCTGAACTAGGTATAGCTTGAACACAGGAAACCTCAAAGCCTGCCCTCACAGTAACATGCTTCCTCCAACATGGCCACACCTACTTCAACAAGGTCATAAGTAATAGTGACACTCCCTCTGAGTTTGTGGGGGCCAATTACATTCAAACTACCATACTCACTCTCTCTTGGGAGACTGAGGCAGGAGGATGTGCCCTATTAAAATCACTGAGATAGATCAGTAAGTAAGCAGAAACCACATTTGTTCCTTTCCAAACCTGGTTCTCTCAAAGTTCTGTTCTTGCACAGATGAAGCCATGGGTAAGCTCCAGAAAAGCCTGAGCTGATGGATCTTAAAACTAGAAAGTACATATTGGGCTTTGGTGGCACATGCCTTTAATCCCAGCACTTGGGAGGCAGAGGCAGGCAGATCTCTGTGAGTTCGAAGCCAGCCTGGTCTACAAGAGCTAGTTCCAGGACAGCCTCCAAAGCCACAGAGAAACCCTGTCTCGAAAAACCAAAAAAAAAAAAAAACTAGAAAGTACATAGTGGAGATTGGGGTGAGGTCAGTGCCATTTCTCCAGCAAAGACTCCCCTTCTCAAGACATAACTTCTACTCATCCTGCCTCCTAAAGTTTCCACCACTCTCAGCAATGCCATCAACTAGACATCAAGGTCCCAGCACACAAGTCTTTGGAGACATTTAAAATCCAAACTATAGCAGTCTCATAGGGCTGCCCGGCACTCAGCCAGCACTTGTGTTAATTTTCATCGTTATTATTATTTTCACAGTGCCCCTTGCGAGACAAACAAAACTGCCTGAGGTTATTTTCTGTATAAAATGAGAGTAAATTAACTGAATCAATGTCAAGGCCAGGAAAATGACATTTAGGGTAAACCCGGGTAATCTTAGTTTGGGTTACCATTGCTGTGATGAAGCACTATGACCACCAGCAACTCAGAAAGGAAAAGGTTTATTATGCTCACACTTCCATATAATGGTTCATCATCAACTCGGAAAGGAAAAGGTTTATTATGCTCACACTTCCATATAATGGTTCATCATCAAAAGCAGTGAAGGCAGGAAGCTGGAGGCAGGGGCTGATGCAGGGGCCATGGAGAGGTGCTGCTTACATAGTTTGATCTGTCTGCTTTCTCATAGAACCCAGGACCACCTGCCCGGGGATGGCACCACCCACAATGGGCTGGGCCCTCCCACATCAATCACTAACGAAGAAAATGCCCTACAGTCTTGTCTACCACCTGATTTTTTTTTTTTGGTTTTTCGAGACAGGGTTTGTCTGTATTGTTTTGGAGACTGTTGTCCTGGAACTCACTCTGTAGACCAGGCTTGGTCTCGAACTCACAGAGATCCGCCTGCCTCTGCCTCCCGAGTGCTGGGATTAAAGCCGTGCGCCACCATTACCCAGCATCGCTGCCACCTGATCTTATGAGGACATTTTCTCAATTGAGGCTCGCTCCTCTTTGCTGACTCTAGCTTGAGTCAAGGTGACATAATGCCAGAACAGCGGGTTAATTAACAAAGACACGGTAATTACAAAGCTATGGGCTATATATCTTTTACTATGTACTAGACTTTTTACAAGTTACAGGAACATGAGAAGTCTGAAAAGCAATCTGTGTACATTGTAACCTTTTAGAAGTATCTGGTTTTGTTTTTGTTTCTCAGAGAAAAAGGAAGACAGTCATGGAAAATACTTAATTCGGAACATCAAAATCCCAGTGGACACAAGCTTCATAAAAGGTTAAAAACTAAATGTGATACATTTTCAATACTAAATTTTAATTCTTAGCCGGGTGTTGGTGGCGCACTTGGAGGCAGAAGCAGGTGGATCTCTGTAAGTTCAAGTCCAGCCTGGTCTACAGAGTGAGTCCCAGGACAAACTCCAAAGCAATACAGAGAAACCCTGTCTCAAAAAATCCAAAAAAAAATTATTCTTTTTATTACGTACTTCCAATAACAAATTCATTTCTCTGACTGCTTGTTGTGATAACTGTTGAGAAATACACCCAATTTTGTCAGTTTTCAAAGTATGTTGGAGAAAGTGACAAAAGATGACAGCCCCACAAACAAGTGACTTGATGTGTCTATGGTCATACAAGGTCACTACAGCCTCTGCTAAACTTTCAATAGCAGAAATAACCGTAACACAAAACAGAATGAACACCTGTGAGTGACAAATGATACAGCTGCCCCTCCTCTGAATCAACCCCATGAGGTCACTGTGCAGACCTGAGTCTGTCACTTCTTCCCTTATGCCTCAGTTGGACTGTCTGTAAAGTTAAGTAACTCTTTGGGTGACTTTACAGTTTATAACTTCCTATGCAACATGGTTAGCACCATGGATAGCTGCCTCTCCAACCTGTGGAGCATCTTCCATGGCTCCTGGGTGTAACTGACTAGGATAGGGAGAGCAGCTAGTCCTGTTGTAGTCCATCTGAAGACCTGTACAACTGTCTGAGTAAGCTCCTCAGACCCTCAATTTCTTCCACCGTTGCGTGTGTTCTCTAAATTGCAAGTCACCTGTGAAATTTGCAGGTGATTCTACTGTTAGCCTGAGCTTCCCTTTCAGGGACAGAAAACTGCCGTAAAGGAGTGAATTGAGCACAGAGGAGAGAGAAGTCTGCTCCTGAAACCACAGTCTCCCCTTAGTCAGTCTCTGACCCAAATATGACAAATTATTGAATCAGTGTTCTAAAATAAGTGTTCATTCTCCCTTACTCCCTTCCTTCTTTTCTCCCTCCATTCCTGCCTCACCCTCAACCTCCTTTCCTTTCTCCCTCTTCCTCCATGCAACCTGCTATCTCATTATATGTGTTTATATGTGCATATGCATGTACGTGTCTGGCTATAAATTGCCTACTTAGTATAGCAGAAACAGTGTCCAAGGTTGGTAGTGACTGAATTGCTTTGAAATTAAGACATCAAATGGTCCTTCTAGAAGATCAAGAGCCTACTGCTATCACCTTGGGCAGCCTTTCTCCCAAATACACCCATCAAGTTCCCATCTCCAGAGTTCCTTCCAGGTTACTCGAATGGTGTTTCTTCATAAATTCCCTTGCTGACTCTCAGTCCAACCACCAGCCAGCGCTGACCCCCTGTAGCCATAACCTTCATCTTCACATGACTTATAAGTGAGTCTGATAGTCTCTCAGTCCCTGACTTATCCAGAGACCTGTCTCCCGTCTTGGTCATGCCAAGCCTTTGGTTTGACTTGAAAGAAATGTCTGACAACTGTGTTCAGAGAAATGTACCCTCTCTCCTAGGCTATATACTGAGCCCCAAGCCACAGGGCTATAAAGTGAGACCTATCTCAACAAATAAAGAAACAGCAACAACAAAAAATGATAGAAAAGGAATGTAGACTCTCAGGAGACCTGGAGTAGGGAAGGCTGATGCCAGCAGGACCACACTCCATGTCCCCTTCTATGCTCTGTGATGCTCTGAGCAGCATGCTTAGACAAGAGCCCTGATCCAGGATTTGGATCATTGTTCATAGACATCCAGACACCTGCTGATACTCAGAGAAAACCTAACATTTATACCCTGACAACCTCTCTCTCTTAGAATGATTAGTACTATTAACAATTATTCTAAATATATGTAGTAATTGTAACTGAATTAGTATTTTAAATGGTTGCTTACAGTTTTAGTACCATTAGGTGACTATTATGACTAGAAGAGCCAAGAATAGTTAAGTCCCACTTCCACCCAGACATTTTACTTACCAAGCGCAGTGTAGAAGGAGCAGGAGCAGGAGCCAGACCACCAGAGCTTTAGCACATGAGATCTGGGAGAGAGTAAAATGTTTTTTGTTTCTTTGCCTTTAAGTTATTTGTCTTCTATTGGTTTTGATTGAAAGGAAGACTAGCTAGCCCACAAGTCCAAGAAGGTCAAAACAGAGAGAAACTGAGAGCAGAACCCACACAGCTCAGCGGTGGCTATTGTGGAACACAGTGAGGCTATAGCCAAGGCCAGGCTCCAGCTTGGTCACTTTGTATGAATGAAAAGAGAAGACAGAACATCTACCATGGTGTGGAGGGAAGAAAGAAGGGAATAGGCAGTTTTCCCTGGGCATATCTAGGACTTCAGCATCCTGAATGATGGAGTCTCAAATTGAGCACTTTCCCAGTATGGATAGCCTATCATCCCCATGCACCACACAGCTATCACCAAACTTGGTCCAATCACATTCTTGGACACTGATCAATTAAGAGCAATTTGTTCTAGGGGACAAGCAAGAGGTGGTGAGAAAGGTTTACCTATGTCTTTGACATGTCCGTTTCCTCCTATTTTCCTGCTTCTTGAAACCTGGTTAAAAACCAAGGTGATTCTTCTTTTATGCAAGTCTAGGAAGCTCTCATTCCTTATATCACTATGGTACCTTACTTCGCTCACTAAGGGTAATGTGAGGCATAGCACTCCAGTTCTTGGGATGTCACTCATTAATACATGCCTCATGGGCTGAGCGAGAGGCTCACCTCTACAAATCTCAGGACTGAGGTGGTAGTGGCAGAGGCAGGAGGATTGCAAGTTTGAGACCAACCTTGGTTACATAGCGAAACCATGTATCAATCAATCAATCATCAATCAATCAAACAGTGTCACATGCCTTTAATCCCAGCACTCGGGAGGCGGAGGCAGGAGACCAACCTGGTCTACAAAGCAGGTTCCAGGACAGGCTCCAAAGCTACACAGGGAAACTCTGTCTTGAAAAAACAAACAAAAAAATCAATCAATAAATGTTTCATGGAGCCATTCATATCTCAACAGGGTTTTTGTTTGTTTGTTTTAAGGCTCTGAGTAACTATTAGGACCAAGACCCAGAAAATGAACTATTACTGATCCCAAGACTTCCTTACATTTCACTAAGCAAGATTCCTTCCCAGCCCAATCTAGACACGAACTGATCAAAGGAAGGGGCACTTCTAACTATGCATATGGAGGTTTTATTACAGGGTCTGCACTACCTAGGGCATTGCCTTGGGATGCCAGTTATGGCCACAGATTAAGAAGGAACAAATAGACTTCTCTATTCCCCAACTTTAACATTCAAACAGACTTGGCCATTATAGTCTTAATCATAAAATGACTTCTTCTTTTGGTGTGTGTCATAGCTAGTTGACACATAATCTCTGCAAATTATCACCATTATAATTAAACCTAGATCAAAAGTCAGAAAACTACAGCCCAGAGGGAAAACCTAGCTTGCTGGTTATCTGTAAATAAAGTTTTATTAGAACACTCCCTTTATTTACATGCAATCTATGGATGCTTCCTAATATGTCTGAAAAGCTGAGGAATCACAAAGGAAACCATGGGCCACAAGACCTTGGAAGTTCCTGGCTAGGCCTTTATAGGAAATGCTCCTGACTTCTGATCTGGATTTTGGTATTTATTTTTCAGAAAGGACTAAGCAAATTTCAGGAAAGTTTGTTTGTTTGTGCATTTGTTTTTATTTAAATTAGAAACAAGCTTGCTTCACATGTCAATCCCAGCTCCCTCTCTCTCCACTCCTCCCCCGCCCCACACCAGCCCCCCGACCCCCACCTCATCCTCCCTCTGCTCCCCAGGTAGAGTGAAGCCCTCCATGGGGGATCTCCAAAGTCTGTCATATCATCCAGGGCAGTGCCTAGGCCCTCCCCCTTGTGTCCAGGCTGAGAGAGCACCCCTCCATGTGAAATGGGCTTCCAAAGTCTTTCCTATGCCAGGAATAAATATAGATCTACTACTCAAGGCCCCATAGATTGCTGAGGCCTCCTCACTGACGTCCACATTAAGGGGGTCTGGATCAGTACCATGCTGGTCTCTCAGCCATGAGTCTGGGGTCCATGAGCTCCCCTTTGTTCAGGTCAGCTGTTTCTGTGGGTTTCACCAGTCCAGCCTTGGCCCCTTTGCTCATCACTCCTTCCTCTCTGCAACTGGGTTCCAGGAGTTTAGTTCAGTGTTTAGCTGTGAAAGTCTGAGTCTACTTCCATCAGCCACTGGATAAAGACTCTAGGATGGCATATAAGGTGGTCATCAATCTCATTATCGGGGAAGGGCATTTATGGTAGCCTCTCCACTATTGCTTAGATTGCCAGTTGGTGTCATCATTGTAGATCTCTGGAAATCTCACTAGTGCTGGATCTCTCCTCAAACCTGTAATGGCTACCTCTACTATGGTATTTCTCATCATGCTCTCCTCTATTCTTCCCCCGACTCAACCTTTGTGCTCCCCCATGTCCTCATCTTCCCTCCTCTTCTCTCCTTCTCCTCTCCCAGCTCCCTCTACCCTCCAATCCACTCAGGAGATCCTGTCCCGTTCCCCTTCTCTGGGGGTACCATGCATACCTCTCTTAGGGTGCTCCCTGTTTCCCAGACTCTCTGGTGGAGGGATTGTAGGCTGGCAATCCCCTACTCCATGTCTAAAATCCATATATGAATGAGTAATTCCATGTTTGTCTTTTTGTGGCTGGGTTACCTCACTCAGGATGGTTTCTTCTAGTACCTGCAAATTTTAAGATTCCTTTAGGTTTTTTTTCCACTGAGTAGTACTCCATTGTATAAATGTACCACACATTCTCTATCCACTCTTCAGTTGAGGGGCATCTAGGTTGTTTCCAGGTTCTGGCTATTACAAATAATGCTCCTATGAACATAGTTAAACAGATGTCCTTATTGTATGAATGTGCATCTTTTGTGTATATGCCTAAGAGTGGAATTGCTGGATCTCGTGGTAGACTGATTCCCATTTTCCTGAGGAATCTCCATACTGATTTCCAAAGTGGCTGTAAAAGTTGGCACTCCCATCAGCAGTGGAGGAGAATTCCCCTTTCTCCACATCCTCTCCAGCATAAACTGTCACTGGTGTTTTTGATTTTAGCCATTCTGACAGGAATAAGATGGTATCTCAGCGTTGTTTTGATTTGCATTTCCCTGATGGATAGGGATGTTGAGCACTTTCTTAAGTGTCTCTCAGCAATTTTAGATTCCTCTAGTGAGAATTCCCTATTTAGTTATATACCCCACTTTTTAATTGGATTATTTGGTGTTTTGGAGACTAGCTTCTTGGGTTCTTTGTAAGTTTTGGAGATCAGCCCTCTGTCAGATGTGGGGTTGGTGAATATCTTTTCCCATTCTGTGGAATGTCGTTTCGTCTTGATGACTGTGTCCTTTGCCTTACAGAAGCTTCTCAGTTTCAGGAGGTCCAATTTGTTAATGTCGATCTCAGTGTCTGTGCTACTGGTGTTATGTTCAGGAAGTGGTCTCCTGTACCAATTTGTTCAAGGGTACTTCCTATTTTCTCTTCTAAGAGGTTCAGTATGGCTAGATTTATGTTGAGGTCTTTGATCCATTTGGACTTAAGTTTTGTGCACAGTGATAGATATGGATCTATCTGCAGTCTTCTACATGTCAGTATCCAGTTATACCAGCAGCATTTGTTGAAAATGCTTTCTTTTTTCCATTGTATAATTTTAGCTTCCTTGTCAAAGATCAGGTGTTTGTAGGTGTGTGGGTCCATATTAGGGTTTTCAACTGGATTCCATTGGTCTAACTGTCTATTTTTGTGCCAATACCAAGCTGCTTTCATGACCACAGCTCTTTAATAGAGCTTGAAGTCAGGGATGGTAATGCTTCCGGAAGTTCCTTTATTGTACAGAGTTGTTTTGGCTATCCTGGTTCTTTTGTTTTTTCAATATAAAGTTGAGAATTGTCCTTTCAAGGTCTGTGAAGAATTGTGCTGGGATTTTGATAGGGATTGCATTGAATCTGTAGATTGCTTTTTGGTAAGGTTGCCATTTTTACCATGTTGACCCTACCTATCCAAGAGCATGGGAGATCTTTCCATCTTCTGGTATCTTCTTTAATTTCTTTTTTTAATGACTCAAAATTCTTGTCATACAGGTCTTTCACCTGTTTGGTTAGAGGTACCTCAAGATATTTTATGGTGTTTGTGGCTATTGTAAAGGGTGACATTTCTCTGATTTCTTTCTCAGCACATTTATTGTCTATATATAGTAGGGCTACTAATTTTTTTGAGTTAATCTTGTATCCTGCCACTTTGCTAAAGGTGTTTATCAGCTGTAGGAGTTCCCTGGTAGAACTCTTTGAGTCACTTACATAGACTATCATATCATCTGTAAATAATGAAAGCTTTACTTCTTCCTTTCCAATTTGTATTCCCTTGATCTCCTTTTGTTGTCTTATTGCTCTAGCAAGAACTTCAAGTACAATATTGAAGAGATATAGAGAGAGTGGACAGCCTTGTCTTGTTCCTGATTTTAGAGGAATTGCCTTGAGCTTCTCTCCATTTAGTTTGATGTTGGCTATCGGTTTGCTGTATATTGCCTTTATTATGTTGAGGTATTTTCCTGTTATCCCTGGTCTCTCCAAGACCTTTATCATGAAAGGGTGTTGAATTTTGTCAAAGGCTTTTTCAGCATCTAGTGAGATAATCATGTTTTTCTTTTTCAGATTGTTTATATGGTGGATTACGTTGATGGATTTTCATTTGTTGAACCATCCCTGCATCCCTGGGATGAAGCCTACTTGATCATAGTGTATGATTTTTCTGATGTGTTCTTCGATTTGATTTGCCAGTATTTTATTGAGTATTTTTGCATCAATGTTCATGAAGGAGATCGGTCTGTAGTTCTCTATCTTAGTTGTGTCTTTGTGTGGTTTGGATACCAAGGTAATTGTAGCCTCGTAAAAAGAGTTTGGCCATGATCCTTCTGCTTCTATTTTGTGGAACAATTTGAAAAGTATTGGTATTAGCTTTTCTTTGAATTTCTGGTAAAATTCTGTGCTGAAACCATCTGGTCCTGGACTTTTTTTGGTTGGAAGACTTTTGATGGCTGCTTCTGTTTCTTTAGGGGTTATAGGTCTATTTAAATTGTTTATCTGTTCTTGATTTAATTTTGGTAAGTGATATCTATCCAGAAAATCATCCATTTCCTTTAAATTTTCCAATTTTGTGGAATACAGGTTTTCAAAGTATGACTTTATGATTCTCTGAATTTCTCCAGTGTCTGTTGTTATGCCCCCCCTTTTCATTTCTGATTTTGTTAATTTGCATGTTCTCTCTCTGCCTTTTGGTTAGGTTGGATAAAGGTTTTACTATCTTGTTGATTTTCTCAATGAACCAACTTTTTGTTTCACTGATTATTTGTATTGTTTTCTTTGTTTCTACTTTATTGATTTCAGCTCTCAATTTGATTGTTTTCAAGTGTCTACTCCCCCTGGGTGACTTTTCTTCTTTTTGTTCTAGAGCTTTAAGGTGTTCTGTTAATTCTCTAGTATGGGTATTCTCCAGTTTCTTCATGTGGGCACTTAGTGCTATGAACTTTCCTCTTAGAACTGCTTTCAGAGTGTCTCATAGGTTTGGGTATGTTGTGCCTTCATTTTCATTGATTTCTAGGAAGTCTTTGATTTCTTTCTTTATTTCTTCCTTTACCAGGAATGATGCAATTGAGCATTGTCCAATTTCCCTGAATTTGTGGGGTTTCTGCAATTTGTGTTGTTGTTGAATTCTAATTTTAAGCCATGGTGGTCCGATAAGATACAGGGGTTTATTCCAATATTTTTGTATCTGTTGAGGTTTACTTTAGTGTCAAGTGTGTAGCTGATGTTAGAGAAGGTTCCACATGGCGCTGAGAAGAAGGTATATTCTTTTGTATTTGGATGGAATGTTCTATAGATGTCTCTTAAACCCAATTGGGTCATAACTTCTGTTAGTTCCTTTGTTTCTTTGTTAAGTTTCTGTCTGGTAGTCCTGTCCAGTGGTGATAGTGGAGTGTTGAAGTCTCCCACTATATGTGTGTGGGATTTAATGTGTGATTTGAGTTTTAGTAATGTTGCTTTTACAAATGTGGGTATCTTTTTATTTGGGGTATAGATATTCAGAATTGAGACTTCATCCTGATGGATTTTTCCTGTGATAAATATGAAATGACCTTATTCATCTCTTTTGGTCAATTTTAGTTTGAAGTCTAATTTGTTAGATAGTAGGATAGCTATACCCGCTTGCTTCTTAGGTCCAACTGATTGGAAAATCTTTTCCCAACCCTTAACTCCAAGGTAACATCTGTCTTTGAAAGTGGGGTGTGTTTCTAGTATGCAGCAGAAGGATGGATTCTGTCTTCATATCCATTCTGTTAGCCTGTTTCTTTTTATAGGTGAGTTAAGATCATTGATATTGAGGGATATTAATGACCATTGATTGTTGATTCTTGTTTGTTTGGGAGTCATGTTTTGGTGGTGGTATTGTGTGTGAGTTTTTCCCCTATTTCTGGCTTTTGGTAAAGTGAGATTATCTACTGCCTATGTTTTTGTGAGTGTAGTTAACTTTCTTGGGTTGGAGTTTTCCTTCCAGAACATTCTATAGGGCTGAATTTGTGGATACGTATTGTGTAAATCTGGTTTTATCATGGAATATCTTGTTTGAGTTTTGATTTGGTTTGGTTTGGTTTTTGGTTTTTCCAGACAGGGTTTCTCTGTGGCTTTGGAGGCTGTCCTGGAACTAGCTCTTGTAGACTAGGCTGGTTTCGAACTCACAGAGATCTGCCTGCCTCTGCCTCCTGAGTACTAGGATTAAAGGAGTGTGCCACCACCGCCCGACTCTTGTTTTAGTTTTAAATGATGTTTTTGTCAAATGTTGCTTGCAATGTGATATAAATAAATGTCTTGTGTGATGTTTATTCAGGTTACACAATGAGACGTATCAACTCTTCTTCACAAAGAGGCAGAAAAAGAGGTAAACAAAAATATGATTTATCAACTCTTAATAAATAAGAATCGTAAAAATGTTTTTGACTCAGGGTTTCACTATACAATCCTGGCTGGCATGGAATTCACTATGTAAACCAATCTTACCTTGAACTCATAGAGATCTACCTGCCACTGCTTTTAATGTTGGGATTAAAGGCATGGCCCTAGTTTTTTTTCTCATTTTAATGTATTATACTGGGTTACATGGGCCATGTCTATGCAAGTAAGTTCTTTGATCATATTCCACTGGGACCAATGGTCCTCCACTCCCCATTGCCTTTGGTCCCCTGTGTCTCCTAGACAAATTTGCTCCTACTTTCCTGTTGTCTGTACATATAATTCTGTGTCTCTGAATGAATTTGTAAGAGTGACAGATGAGAGCAAACATGTCTTTGTCTTTCTGAGGATCACTTAGTTTCCTTAATATAATCATCTCCAGTTGTATCCATTTTCCTGCAAATGGCATAATTTTGACTTTATTTTTATGGCTGAAAGAAATTCCACTGTGTACATAAACAGTTTCTTTACCTATTCCTTTGCTGGTGAGCACCTAAAGTAGCCCACAGCTTGTCAGCAGTGCTGCAGCAGATGCTGATGGCGTTCTTATTCTGTACTCTGTGTGGTGGGTGAGTGACAACTAGCTTTCTTGATTAGCTGTTGAAATCACTAACGAATCTTAAGATCATCATCAGTATTGGTCAATTTCAACAGCAGGACAGATTACTGATAACTCCCATTCCATTGATTCGTTAGTTGATTTAGGAGGGATCCAGACATGCATGTGTCTCTACGTGCTGACCGTTCTTGAGGGAGGAAATAAAGTATGTGACTCATGTGATATTTAGCATACTTTTTCTTGCCCACATAGAAAGCCACAGAAACACACGGATCTTGATGGCAATACAAGCCTGTGTTCTAATTCCTAAAGTCCTGTGTGCCTCTACGCTGTCATTTATCCATTTCTAACTCTATTTAACTGTAAAAATGTAACATAAGAGGAGGTAGAGAGGGGGCTCAGCAATTAAGAGCATTGACTGCTCTTCCAGAGGACCCAGGTTCAATTCCCAGTACTCACATAGCAGCTCATAACTGCCTGTAACTCCACGATCAGGATACCTTCACGCAGAAATACAAAAATGCCAATGAACATTAAAAACAAAAAGATGTGATATAGGGCTTCGGGTGAATTAAGCTGAGTAACAAGCCATGGACAATGTTGCTTTGATAGACTGCTCTGAAGCAACTGTAGGATGCTCCCCCACCCCAAACCAAGCCCTATGTCCTTGATATATCCCTTAACTGACTGGAAAGGCAGAGCCACTACTTTGGAAGTTCATTTTAAGGCCTTCAGCTTCTGGTTCAATGGAATTGGATCCACACATTCTGAGAATCGTGCTCTGATGCCAGGAGATGAGGATAGTCTTGGAAGGCTGGGAGGCTGGAGAGGTTTTGACAAGCTACAGGCAAATGAGACACACTTTATGCACCAGCACCCAGGCTGCTAGGCAGGCAGTCACGAGCAGGCACCCAGGCATGAGAAGGCACACAGGCAGGCAGGCTGAGTGAAAGAAGGTATATAGGCCAAAAGATAGACACACACAGACAGGCAAGCTGGTAAAGGAGACCTCAAGGCCATATTGATACAGAACCACACAAAAGTGGCACTCTGCCAGAACTCATTATCTAAGAGATGACATCACTATTTACCTTGGGGTCTCCAGATACCTGGTGTCAGGCATTCTGTGCTAACTCATTGTCACCCCTATCAACCCCTGCTTCCCACCATGTCCAGTGTCATCTATGCTTTATCTGACTTATATCAGATATCCGTGTTAGCACCATGATGTTTAAATATGAACACCCTCATGGCTTTCTGTTTCTGACTCAAACATCCCTCAAGTGGTATGCAGGGCTGTAGCATCTGCAGGATCTTCAAGAGCTACTGGGTGAGCCCTCAGGCAAGCTCAGGATAGGAGAAAGACAGCAAATCAGGTGAAAGGTGAACAATGACACCTCATTGGGTGTCCCTTTCCATCCTTGTCTACCACAGATGCATCCAACAACAGAAGAAAATTTGAGTTATTTTTCCCATCTACAAAATTCCAAAGCCATTATATAATGAGAACTATCTCTTCAAAATATTCCTAGGAAAGTCACTAAACAGTGGCTGCTGTGGCCAACAAGTTTGAGAGCTGGGATTCTGCCCCACAAGGCTCCAGTTGCTAAGCAGGAGTTCAGAAGTTGGGAGCAGAGCGTGTTATTATCTCTAAGCATCCAATCATTCATAAAGGAAAGACCTTCAAGTGTAACTGATCCATGGGAAAACCCAATGCATTTTTAGTTGGAGAAACAAGATACTAAAGGGGTGGAGGAAAGGCGGTACACTGTTCTAGAATAAAGTGAAATGTGTCTCTGCAGGTCCAAGAATTCGCAGACAATTCAATGTGAATTTTGTCTGTCCTGAGCTTCCGGTGACCTGTGGTACTGCTAAGGGGACTCTGTATAAGGAGAAATTTGAGCAAGGTGAGTTTCCAGATCTTCTGTGCTCTTCACGTGGACAATGGCACCACATGGGGAGCGGGCACCTGTGTTGGGGTGTCTCATCCCAGATCTAGTTTGCAGGACTCAGGATACAGGGAATGTTATGCCCGTTACTTAAGTGACAGGTTGTGAGGCCAGGTTAACGATGACAAGGGGGTGTGAGGACAGGTTCAGGGACCCAGAGACCCTTGATCTTACACTCCTAGTGGGGACACACAAAGTGCAATTAATTACCCCAGCAACAAAAGAGTGAAAGGTTTTCTTCCAAGGGGCTGCACCAGCCCAGGAACTGGGCTTCTATCAGCAATAAGTTATGCAGGTACAGAGCACACACCAAATCATGATACCCATGAGGAAAGCAGTTTTCGTGTGTGACATGAACTGTTTGTAAATAATTTCGGCATGGAGAAGTTACTCTTGGGTTTCTGGGAGTGACAGAAGCTCTCCTCAAAGGCATATTCACAAACTCCAGTCAAAGGCCGACTATGCCAGATGGTATTTCTCAGAAGAGTCTCGGGCCTTCTGGGATTGTTCTTTTCTGCACCAAATCCCAGAAAGACAGCAGGAATGAGGGCATTTTCCATATTTTTCTTTCTCTTACTCTGCCTTGTAGCACTGGGATTAAAACCAGGGCCTCGTGCATGTGAGGCAAACACTCTATCTCTGAGCTGTACACAAAGCTGCGGTTGTGCGTGTTCAAATATCGTACATCCATAAATGAATTCCTTTTAGCGAAAGTGTGAAGTGTAATGGTAGAGTCGTCCTTCTCTGCCCTTGCCTATCAGGATGAAGGTGTGACTCCTGATGACTGAGAGGGAAATGCACCCTCCTGAGACTAAACCTGAGCCCCAGATCCTGGATGATGATGGACAAAGAACAGGTGTTTTCCTAGCTGACTCCTCGGTTTGTCTTAGTCTTACATGGTGTGGGAGGACCTTCTGTGTGCTGCATACACACGTTGCTTTTATTGGTTGATGAATAAAGTCATTTCAGTCAATGGACAGGCAGAATTTAGCTAGGTGGGAATTCCAAACAAAGAGGCAGGGAAAGAAAGACAAAGGACAGTCGCCATGTAGCCACCAGGGAGGCAGATTGCCAGGAATCACCTAGGTAAGCCACAGCCACATGGAGATACAGAAATTAATAGTAATGAGTTAATAATTAAGAGAGAGCTAGCCTATAAGAAGCCTAAGCCAATGGTCAAGCAATTAAAAATATACATTAAGTCTCTGAGTGGTTATTTCTTAAGCGGCTGTGGGACCCAGTGGGCTGAGGAAAACTGGTCCAGTGGGATCAAGACTGATGGAGAAAGTCTCCTTCTACATTTACAGGCATCCATGCTAAGAGTATACGGAGTGAGACTGGACGTTGGTTTACTCCCATGAAATTTGAAATCAAAGGAAACCGCGGAGATTCCAAGAACTGGAGGCAAAGCATACGTTGCTATGGATGGCCCCTGAAAGAACTGATAGAGGTATTCTGGAGGCAGATAGCTTCCATGGTTCCTGGGTAAGATGGTGGATTAAAAGCTTCTATGTGACAGGAAGCTTCAAATATTCTGGGGTAAGGCAACAGATTAGAAGCTCTTTCAGTGTGACATGTAGCTTCAACTTTAATAACTCACTGGTACCAGCTGTTTGCAGAATGTCTGTGTCCACAATACCACCACGATTCTTCTTAGCCAGATTCCATGACAACAGTGGTTGCCAGCATGCCACTCAGGTGTTACCTTGGCTGGTTTGTATTACAGCTCAGTCCTCTAAAATGAACTAACTTGCTACCTTCAGATGGAGGAGAAAAGACTGTGACCTTTACCAATAACTTGTTGCTTAAAATATGGTAGCATGGACATAATATAAATTAAATTTAACTATAATTTATATAATTTAAACTTTGAGTGCCAGTGATGAAAATGTTACACAATTCCATATCTGAAAATAACCACCCATGTGGATGCCCGAGTTACGGAATGTTGCAGCAGGACTTCTTCCTGTAGTCGCCTCACACTTGCTCTTGAGTAGCTGAGTGTGGTGGGCCAAACCTCTAATCCCAGCACTTGTGAGACTGCGACAGGGAGATTGCTCAGAGCTCGAGGCTGGTCCAGACTCTGTAGTGAATTCCAGAACAGCTTAAGTTATAGACTGAGATCTTCCTCAACTCCATCTACCCAAAAAATAGGAGTAAGTAAAAGAAAAATACTTTTGAAATAAGTTCTTTTTTCTTCATTTATATTAAGCCCCTGAACTGGGAAAATAAGTTGGTTTCCTTGGGAGCTGAACCATTTCTTTTGACTTAGGGTACACTGATCTTTCTGTCACACATCTCAGATGGCCTTTCCCTGTGTCATTCTCACAAAAAAAAAGCAAAAATATTTGCTCATCCAGTATCGACTGCGCTGCATCCAAAGTCATGGGGAATACACGCGTGAGCCCTGGCCAGGGCAAGGCTGCCCCTTCATACCGTACCTGTAGTCACTTCTGTGAGGAGAGGTGTCTGCAGGAAACAATGCTGTAGCTGAGGGGCGGGATGGCTATTTCTGGGTTTCAGATTAAAAACCATGTCATGGGACAATCTTCACTGAGCTGGGTCATAGTATATAGAAAGGGACTTTCTGCCTGGAGGAGAGAGCATGAGAAACCAGAGCTCAGTGTGTCAGGAAGCTGTGAGCCATTGAGTGGCATCCCTTGTCTGAGCTCACTGTGAAAATCACTGGGCCAGAAAACAGGGTCTACATGTTCCTTTGACTCACTGGGGGGCACATGGGGGGTAATTTCCATGAAGCCACCTTGTATGTGACAGTGGTACATCCAGACAGAAATATCTAGGAGGCAGTTAGAAATACCTAACTCACAAACTGAAAACAGACAACTCCCCATGATCAACTCTCTATCTTTCAGGATGGATATCTGCCAGACCCACCAAGGAAAAGGGGGAAGGTAACTATCCCAAGACCCCCCCCCCCCGCCATCATGACTGGGCCTATTCTCTACAAATTGTTTGTTTTCCATCTCTGTAGCCTTATAAGTTTTTAAATTGACTAATTTGGATTTAACCAAATTTGAATTTGCTCTACAGCGCTAGGATAGTTGTGGGTTTACACAGTATAAGGGCTAGGGCTGCTTTGGGCATCAAAATATTTGAGACGGAGATGGGAACAAAACAAACCTTGGGAGCCATCACATGAGTGATCTCTTCTATCTTTCAGAAGGGAAACCCACCAAACCGACAGCGAACAAGGAAAAAGGTAACTACTCTGTGACCTTCTGCCCTGATGCCTGAGGCTGTCATCTGCAAATTGCTAGTTGTCCATCTCTGTCATGTTATAGTTGTGAAATTCACTGATTATGATAAAATGGATTTTATAATGTGATATTGTTGTGACTTATATTTTAAAACACAATATAAAAGGTCAGTGTTCCATTTAACATTAAAACGTTTGAGATTGAGGTGGGAACAATCTTAAAAATAGTAAAGCAATGGACTGGGGATATGGCTTAGGAATTAAAGGTGCATGCTGCCAAACCTGATGACCCGAGTTCAATTCTCAGCAACCATATGAAGTCATGAGAAAATAGGTTCCCAAACTTGTCCTTTGCTCTCTGGGAGTCACATGAGTGTCTATATACATATACAAATAAAGTGTAATTTTTAAAAAACTAGGGGCTGGAAAGATGGCTCACTAGTTGCTTTTCCAGAAGAACCAGGTTGATGCCCAGCATCCACATAGTAGCTCACATCTATTTAACTCTAACTCCAGTCCCACGACATCCAATGCCTTCTTCTGACCTGTTAAGCCACCAGATTTAGAGACAATGACACTTCTTTTGTTCCTCTGCTGGAGACAAGACATTCATCTCTCATCTCTGGAGTATGGACACCTCATTGGATGACTGAGGCAGATGCTGAGGCTCCTGGTCCATGGACCACTGCTTCGGATGCAGAGTTCTCACCTGATGACTATACATTAGAACCCCCCCCCAAGAATGTTTAAGCATCCATTTCTTGATTCCAGCACTCCAGCCCAGACTCGGTGAATTGAAATAGATGTGATAAGATCTGAGATACTTGTTTTGTTTTTCTCCCTCAGTGTTAAGGATCAAACCTAGGGCCTCACTCATGCCAGGTTGAACATTGTATCATTGAACTACACTCTCAAGTCTGGAATTTCTTTTAATTCCATGAGTGATTTTAGTCTATAACATACTGATGATTACTAAATAAGAGAGCAAACTTCCTGTTCAAAAAAGAGGGAGGGGTTAAGAGTACTTGATGCCCTTTCAAGGACCTAGATTCAACCTAGCATCCACATGGTGGCTTGCAACCATCTGTAATTCTAATTCCAGGGAATCTGTAAGCTGCCCTGTGGGAATTGAACCCAGGTCCTCTGTAAGAGCAGTCAGTGCTCTTAACCGCTGAGCCATCTCTCCAGCCCCCAGGGAATCTGACTCCTTCCTTTGTCCTCTGTGCCCCAGGCTCACAAGTGGTGCTTCTAGACAATGGAACACTATGTAGATTTGCCAGTGTACTGCTCTTTCTCAGGACTCACTTGGGGTGTTTTTAATAAATAACTCAGAAATCTTGACCCAGCAGCCTGACAAAAGTGTTCATCAAACATAGTCTCACCTGCTATTATAAAAAGCAAGGACTCTTGCAAGGTTCCCTGCCTCTGGTCCCTGTTGGAGGTAGATGCCTCCAAACATGTCCATCATAGGCCATTTAAGGTTCCTATAGAGAGATCCAATGAAATAGACTCATGTTTGCAGCCTAGAATTTGAACATTGTGTGTAGTTCTTTTGTCATGTCTGGGTGAAGAAAGAAACCACAAATGACAATTTTATTCACTTCAGCTCTGACTTGTTAGATGGTTTCCTTTGCTGGTGATGTCATGAGTAAAGAATTCTGCACCCTGATGGCATCGGGCCCTACACAAGCACAAGCATGAGGTTAGACTTGAAACTTAGGGTGAGCGTGACTGGTGTAGGGATGGGGTATCTGAGATGAGAGGGGCAGGGATGAGTCCCGGTTCTCATCCGGCTGCACATGATGGGAGGTCAGAGGATCATTGTAAAAGAGGAGCAGATACAATGTTACAGAACCGTAAAGATCTCCCTAGAGAAGCAGAGAGTGAATGCTGGAGGCTCCAAACAAAACCAGAATACAGACCTGAACGACTAGAGGAGTGGTCATGGGAGGAACTGCAAATATTGAGGCAAATGAAATGAATTGAGAGCACAGGATAGAACCCAAGGAACCCCCGCATTCTAATAGTAGAACCAGATCTTCAACCCTAGGTGGTCCTCTATTCCTAGAACATTAGAAAAATCACTTTGGAAACAGAGTCAGGAGAATCAGAACCCAAGCTAGTCCTGGCTATGTGAACCCCATATCAAAAAAAGAAAAAAAAAAGAGCTGGGAGGTGGTGTCGCGTACCTTTAATCCCAGCACTTGGGAGGCAGAGCCAGGCGGATCTCTGTGAGTTCGAGGCCAGCCTGGTCTACAAGGCAAATTCCAGGGCAGGCTCCAAAACAATACAGAGAAACTCTGTCTCAAAAAATAATAATTATTATGAAATTAACTAGGCAATTAATTAAGCCAGATTAAGGCATTATATTTTAGAGTTAGGCTTTCCTGAATAATAAACTTATCAGGTTATCTTCAATTGATCTTTTTTTGTTACTGTTGCTATTGTGATGGTGTTTGTGTTATTTCCGTGTCAGAATTGCTATTTTCACTTTGCAAATTTTTCTAGTATGACATATCCTAGCAATTCCATGAACTTTATTTCATATCAGAATGCCTTTTCTTAAAATCGGTTCAATAATTGTCTTCAATATTTTAGGAGAGGGGCTGGAGAGATTTATAAATAGTTAAGAGCACTGGCTGCTCTCCCAGAGGATCCAGGTTTGGTTCCCAGCACCCACATGGCATCTTATAACAATCTGCAAATCAAGGCCAGGGGATATTTCTGGTCTCTGCAGGGACCTGCACATAGATTGTGCATGTATATACACTCAGGAACACACACATAAAATAAATAAATATTTGAAATATACTTTGGAGTAAGGAGATTTCTGGGGCCGTCTTGGCTTAGGCAAAGGCCATATGTTCTAGCATTCTGGGGTCACACTGCTCTTGGTGATTTCTGGAACATTTCTTCTTGTAGCTGGAAAATTCAAAACAGTGTACAGTGTGCGGCCAACGACGGAGGTTGTACCAATGTGCTATTTGTAGCAAATTCTATCATAAGAGATGTCACATCCCACCTGTGGAAGTCAAGAGGTTAGTAAGACAGCCCTGCCCCCACCCATCCCTTACTCCTCAGGACACTCCCTCCTACACACACACACACACACACACACACACACACACACACACACACACACTGCTGGGTTGTTGTTTCCAGTTGGATGTGTCTTGAGATCTTAGTCTCAAGATCCAAAAGTATCCAGAGGTGTTTCCTAGCGCTATACAGAGGATTAATGGAAATAGTTAATAGAAAGATTAACGTAAAGTGATACCTGAAAGAAGTGTCACTCCATCTCACCCATGTGCTCCGTGGGATGATGGCACTGTGTAGTGTTTGTCGGTTAACCATGCATTCCTCTTCCCCAATATGGGATTGCGAAATTGATAATGCTTGGCTGTTTCAAGCCTTCAGAAACCTAACCCAGTTTTCTATCAAACGGGGTTGCTGAGCGTAGCATGAGAACTGGAAATTCTGTGTCGGCACCCCCTAACCCTCCCCCACCAGAGCACTCCTTTGCTTTATCTGTGTCTCTGGCAGAGATTGTATGTGGTACTCTAAGAGGTCGTCAAGGGATTGGATGCCTTCTGGGAATGGTGTGTGCAGTACTGTGACCTAGGGACTGCTCTCTACTGGAAATCCTCTAAGAGAACACTGCCCTCTGCTGACAGGAGGAGTCATAAGAACACCCACTGCTCCCCGGGCACCATCAGAGGATTATTGGAAACCTCTTCTTCTGACCAGTTAGACAAGGCACAAAGTGAATCAGCCCTTTCACCCTGCCCACATAGCTCCTAACACCCCTCCTTGCTTTCCCGTGGTTCCTCTGGGGCAGACAGGATTTTCCCTGCCTCCCTCTTCTGTCCTCCCTGTCTCTTTACCTCTTTTCTCTTTCCTCTTGCCCTTCCCTTTCTAATAGAACTCACTTAAGCCCTGTCTGCCTGGCATGCTTGTCCCTCCGCCGCAGTCACCCTCACCTGCCATGGGATCCGCCAAGATCCTCTGTGCGCTTTATCCTAACACCCTCCCTGAACATCTCAAAAAAAAACCAAACAAACAAAAAAACACTGAATGGACAAAGAGAAGATGGCATTATTAAGATGGATCATTGAAATGAATAAAATTTAGGGTGTCTTAGTCAAGGTAGGGGACCTAGAGGCAGGAACTGATGCAGAGGCCATGGAGGAGTGCTGCTTGCTGGCTGTTTCCCAAGGTTTGTTCAACCTGTTTTCTTATAGCATCTAGGGGTGGCACAGTCCACAGTGAGCTGGATCTCCCACGCCAATGATCAACCAACAAAATGCACCATAGGCTTTCCCCCAGGCCAATCTGTTTGGGGCATTTTCCCCAATTGAGGTTTCTTCTTCCATAGACTCAAGTTGACATAAAATATGTGAGGTAAAATGAAAAATATTTGGCACCATCAATACATTTCCTTTCCAATAAGTTTCCATAACACAGATTCTAGCTGCAGACCTGGCAATGTCAGATGAAAAGATGCCTGTAGCCTCTGCTATGCTCACTCAGCAGGGCTGAGAAGCAAGAGTTGCTTTCTGGTTTCCTAATTGTAACTCCCGTCTGATCAAGGTTCAAGACCCCTGTGCTTAAGGCACTAAATTCACTGTTATGACCAAACATGGCTTGTTGTCAAGCTCCCAATACTCAGATGGAAACTTCAAGTTTTGAGGTCAATAGAAACTCATCACTTCCTTGGGTACCACCTCATTCAGCACACTCACTGTTGATAGGAGTGGTTGTGTTTGCATAGTGAACTGACATGGAGATCCAGCTGTGTCCTCGAAGACTGAAGTTGAATGCTAGGTGGAAGCCATTTGCCATTCTTGAGCAGAGGTCTTTTTCAGCCACAGGGATGGGGGCTGGTTCACAGACTGTCTTTGCTCACTTTATGCCTGACCTCTCAGTGGCCTGTGGAATTGTGTCTTCTGCATGACAAAGGATCAGCTAAGGTGCCAAGAAAATCGAGCACATCATAAGGAATCTGAGGTCCTGAGGAGGGAGATGTTGCCTGAGGAGCAGCTGGTGAGTCAAGGTGAAGTTGGAGGCCCCTCTCTTTGGTTGGCAGAGGAACATGGTCTCACAGACAGTGTCGAACAGAAACACAGGTAAATCATGATGTGTTTTGATCTCATGACCCAATGCTAAAATTCATACTCCAGAGAGTAGCATCATTTCATATTTGTCTCAAAGAGGCCAAAGGTCTGGGAGTCATTCATTGCCTCTTGGGATTTAAGAGGCCTTTTCTCCCTGAGTTACCTTCCACTTAGAATTGCCTTTCATCTTTTGCAGAAATGTGAGCTGCTTCTCTTGACTATCTACTGCCATTCAAAGAGTAGATTTTTTATCCCCAAACCAAAGCAAGTGAGTAGCAACAACAAAACTGAAATCTTGTGATCGTATTCCCATACAAGTTGTCTTTCTCTTCGCCTTGTTGATGGGTATCTTTGTGCAGGGAACCATGTATAGCAAATGACCATAGACTGGGGCAGTGTACACAGTATAAACTTGTTTCTTATGGTTCTGGAGACTGGAGGTCCGAGGCCAAGGAGCAGATAAAGACTGGGTTCTGATGAGGGTCTTCTACTTCATTATTTGAGACAGGGTCTCACTGTGTTTCTCTCTCTGGCCCGGAACTCACTCTGTAGACCAAGCTGCCCTCAAACTCACAGAGATTCACTTGCCTCTGCCTCCCTCATGCTGGGGTTAAAGGTGTGCGCCATGACAACTGATTACAAGTCTTCTGGGAGGTAAGCAGCTCACTGCTGACTGCTCTCTCATATGCTGAAGAGATGGAGAGAGCTTCCCGGAATCTTAATAGGGGCGCTAATTCCATCCACCTCCCCCCCCAGAGGTGGGGGCTGTACCTTTATAACCTAATTGCGAAACCTTCACTTCTGAGTTGCAGTGTACCAGGGGTTAGGATGAGTCAGAGGAAGGAGATACAACCATGGGAGTGTGTGGAAGGCCGACTCGGGACTATGCTGACAGCCCCTCCCCAATTCCATGCTTTTCACAACAGAGGAAAGAGGACTTTCCAGACCTCCAGGAGCACATGTGGCTAAACAAAATCAAGTACAGGCTCAACAAGAAGGCATACCATTCAGTACAACATTTTGTGAAGGACATGCGCCTCATCTTTCGGAACCACAGCATATTTTATAATGTAAGAGCCTCTCTTTCCTTTTCCTTTGAGTTGAGTCACTTTTCCTCATGTCAGCTAGATGCTGTAATTGTCCTATTCATGGGGCAAGCCCACAGAAGTCAGATCTGGGGGGGATTCATGATGCAGGTGGGGAAAGCAGCAGGGACTCTCTTAGGACCTCCAGAAGCTCACTTCTGGGTAGCCGATTTTCCCCCATGGAGAGCAACATGCTACAGAGCAGCTCACCGCTGCAGAGAACAGAAGTGTATTTTAAAGGCAGCCAGCATTTCTCATCTATAAAGAGAGAAAACCAGACGTCTCACATTGCGGAACCCCCAGTTTTCTTAGTATCTAAATGTCCAAGTGCTGGGGCAAAAAGTTCTGGCAACAGGGCTGGAGCGATGGCGGGGCAGTTAGGAGCACTTACTGCTCTTGGAAGGAGTGGAGTGTGGCTCCCAGCACACACACCAGGAAAGTCACCTGCAGCTCCAACTGCAGGGAATTCAACACCCTCTTCTCAACGCCTCAGGAACCTGCACTCGCATGCACACACCCACACATAAGTACACATGCTTGAAAATATTAAAAATGCCAAAGCCAGAAGCAGGTGGATCTCTGTGAATTTAAGGCCAGCCTGGTCTACAAAGCAAGTTCTAGGCCAGTTGGAGCTACACGATGAGACCCTGTCTCAAACAAACAAACAGAAACAACAATACTAGTAAATATATTTTAATTAATTAATTTTCTATTTTAGAATTTTGTTTGTCATATATTTTCTTCATATTCTTCCCCCTTCTCCCAGGTCCTCCTCACCTCCCTGTCCACTCAATTTAAGATTCTCTCCCTCTCAAGAAAAAAAAGGAAACACCAATACCTTCACCCCCAAAAAATGAAAATCAAAAGAAACTAAAAATCCACATAAACAAACCAAGACAAAAGAGAGTAAAACAACACAAAAAATATGCACACACACACACACACAGAACAAAACAATTAAAAAAGCCCCCATGGGAAGGGCCTAGGTCCTGCCCTGGATGAAATGACAAACTCTGGAGATCCCCCCCCCAGGGCCTCACCCTCTCTGGGGAATGATATGGGGATTGGGTGGGGGGCTGGAGGGGGCTGGTGGAGGGACAAGGGAGGAGGGGCGGGAGAGGGAGCTGGGATTGACATGTGAAACATTCATGTTTCTAATTTAAATAAAAACATATGTTGGGGGAAAAAAAGAAATTGGAGCCAAACAAGGATAGTGGGATGCTGACATTTTGATGAAGACAGGGAAATGCCTTCATAAAGATGGGGCAGATAGTGAAAGCAATTTCCCCTCAGTGAAGAAGTGCAAGCTTCCCTTCTCCAGAGAGCAATGTTCGAATTGATCTTATTTAATGCTAGCATAAAGAGGTGAATGCGTAGAAAGCACAGTGTGTCGAGTGAATGAAGATGAATTACTGGATGCTTTTTCACTGTGTGACTAAGGACAGCTCATACTTGCATTAGTAATAGTATTGGGGCCAAGTTATTTTCCTAGGATGCTTAATGTGTCTCTAAAATTATTGATTACTATTATAGGCATGATTTTGTTTTATGGCAAAAATTTTTAGAAATAAATGTAGCACTGACAGACGAAAAGAAAAAAAAAGGCCCCACGGAGTCTGTTTATGTTGACCAGCTACTCCTGGGCTTGGGGTCTATCTTGAAAGGTTGATATAGCCAGTAACACTCCTGATTGGAAAAAAAAAAAAAAAACGATATTCACTTTCCCAGCAAGTACCAATTGTGAATAACTTTTGGATTAGGGTGTAACTCTATGCTTACCCCCCTCTCAGGGCTGGGATTTTGTCTGGTTTGAACCTCTGCAGGTTTTCAGCATCCTATGAATTCCTGGTATGAGCTCTCTTGTGCTAAGATGCTGCTCCCTTGGCACCACCTCAGGGTCGTAGGGTCTTTGTGCCACCTCTTCGTTGAGGAGAGAGGTTTGATTCCATTAAGAGCTGATTTCCTACTTCTTTTTCAGAACCACAAGTTCAGCTATCTTGGAGTCACAGTAGGAGAGCTATTTGAGAAGACTTTCAAAAGAATTTTTTCAATCAAAGATGCAAGCAAATAACTCCAACCCTGTAACCACATTGTTTTGTTAACTTAGCCCTTTCTATTCTCTCCACTACCCATCCCTCCAAGCACAGTGCTCAGAGAGTCCACTGTCCACTCTGCCTTCTATGCCAACACTCTGACACGCATCTGCTTCTGCCTCAGTATTGCCCTTCCTGTTCAATTATCTTCCTAAATAAAACTTAACACTTGCAATTACATCACAGTAGTGAACTGTCAGGTGCTGAGGGAGCCCACTGAGGACATGACTCTGGAGGCAAGATCATACTGCTCCCCCATTTTAACCCAAATATGTTTGTCTCCAAATGTCCTCCAAAGTATCTTTTCTAAGGATGACCTGGCCCCTCTTACCCAGTGGCTGGACAGAGAAACCAGCAAAACAGGTCCAAAGTGGAAACAGTGTCCTTGGGAACAGGTAGAAGGTGAACCACTTCTAACAGATATTACACTTGTTTATCCTGTTTACTCTTCAACCTGGAAGCCTCACCAGATGCTAACTCTGCTCTGCCCTGGATTGCAATGGGAGCTCTGCCACCCCCTCCCCCCACCTCTACATGACGTCCCTGGTCAGCTCCCCCTGGATATTTCAAGCACACAATTAATGATGTTTTGTTGTTTTTACATTTACTCTTTTGCTTTGGCTTGCTACATACTTAATAAACTCACTCATTCAAAACTGAAAGTATGGCAATCATTGCTGATTCTCAGGACTGTGCAGAACATAATCTAGTGGGCCAACACTCTCTACAAGATGCTATTTCTCTTTGAAAGTAGTAACCACACCAACGGATGCAGTGACGATTCACCCTGCAGACACCTGGCCTCTGCTCAGACTGCTAGAATACGGAACAAATGTCTTCTATGTCTGAAACTGCGGTTTACAGGTGAGCATGTCAGGAGCTGAGCACTCCAGGTGCTGTCAGTGTTAGCATTCAGGCATTGACACTGGCCTGCTGTCGGGGACCTGGCAGGATATGTCATCAGCAACAGTCAATACGTGACATTGTAGCTAGATAAACATTTCTGTGTCCCTGGAAGTAGGTTTCTCCCCCGACACAAAAAGCCAGATGAAGCCGAATTTAAAGTCCAGGTCTGATGAGCAAAGCACTCTCAGGTGACTCTCGAGTCCCCAGAAGTGAGGCGGGGGAGGGAGGAGCAGACATGACAGGTCTATGGACTGGAGCTTAAAAACACTGTATTCCATGTCTTGAGCGGCTCTGGGGGAGGAGCCATTGCTTGGCAGGCTTTCTGAGGGGCAGAGTTTAAAGAGGGATGAGGGGGCTGAGATGGGACTTTCAAGGGAACACTCCATCCTTCTTGGGTTATATGTGTGCTGGTTAAAGTATGGCTGCTTCCTGCTGGCATAGGATGATGTGGGCATGGGAAGTCGGTAATGAGTGGGCTAATGCTCGGTGGGGGAGGAGAGAAGCATTCAGCTAACTGCCATCCTGAAGGCCTCAGGCATCTGTTTCTTGAGGAAGTGGAGAAGGCAAGTTGCTAGGAGAAGAAAATGGTTGCTGTCACCAGCCCTAGGAAGGGGACAAGCCATGAGAGAGTGGAGATGTGCCCGGGTTGTACTGACAAAGATGAATGAGCAACGCAGAAGAGCAGATAGGCCCTTCATCGGGACAGTTTGGAAAACCAGAGGGTGGAGGGTCCCAGTTGCTGCACAGACATCTATCCTGCATGGGTGCCCGCCTGAGCCTGGGGAGGTGGTAGGTACCGTATTGATGTCCCAGGAGCTTGGGGAATGGCGTGTCAAGTCAGGGGATGCTGTGATCCAGGAGTACCTGAGTCATCATGTCTGCTGTTCCTGGAGGTGGGGGTCTCTCCACCCATCCTGTAAAGGTGTCGGGAGGAGTTAAGAGATAACAGAGCTTTTTGTGAGTGGACACGTGGGGCCTCCAGACACGCCTGTCCCTGCACCAGCTGCCCCCCCTCCCCCGCCCGCAGGGTAGCCTCGGCACAGGTATGGCAGGAAGAGCGGACCTGTAAAATACAGGCTGGAAGGTGGGTGGGGTCAAAAAAGAAGCTCTAGAGACTGATATTAGTTTCCACCAGGCCAGATTTCTTGATACAGTAGCAGAACTCTTTCCCCAGGAACCTGGAGGACCTGTAAAACAGCTGGAACAGATTTATACCTTGGTATCACAGCAAAGCTATGCCTTTGGGTTAAAACATTTTTCCTAGGGCCGGATTTTAGCCTGATAAAACATACCTTTAAGTCTATTGCTGGTGGCAGTGTCAAGGGGGTAGCAGGTGACATTGAGGTTCAGGGTACCGGCTCACTAGGAGGCAACCCCCTTGTGGATAATTCTTCGGTAGGCAAGGCCCCCAAGACCACAGACCCTGAAACATTTTACTTCTGCTATGCCTTTGCATGCTTGCTGTTGCTGTCTCTTTCTGATATCTGGCATGGCTGAATTGGGTGTGGGGGAATTCCCCACTGGCTATAAGGTAATGTGTTTATTTCATGGAATAACCCCGTTCTGCTGTGCATTTTTACCTGTGAATTATTTTGAGGCTATTTTCCTCCTAAGCTCTACCACCCAATTGATAATAATAATGTTGGCTTACACAGAGCCTTGATGAATAAAAGTATATACAAGGATATGTGTGTATCTCACCTAAGTGGTGAGAAACTTTGAGATTTGTTAACAACAACAAAAGGCTTGGTAGTCAAACAACATGTACAGACATGAAACTTCAGTTTGCTACAATGTGCCATGTATGTTATTTGGATTCAACTCTTGTATTGCAGGTTATTAAAATCCCTGAAGATATTGATCTGCTTATAGCAGCATTTATAATAACTGGTTTGAACAGCAAAACTGTGTGTCCAATCAAGATGGTTGCTTGTGTGTTTCCAACTTTGTTAGACTTTTAATCACTTTGAAAGGCGAGTCTTAGCAAAATTAAGACTTAGTTTAAAAACTGCTTTGTGGCGGCTAGTTTTATGTCCACTTGACATGAGCCAGAGTTATTTGGAAAGACAGAGCATCAGCAGAGAGAGTGCCAGCACCAGCCTGGCCTGCCGGGCATGTTTTTGATTGATGAGCAATGTGGGAAGTCCTAGCTTGTTGTGGGTGGTACCACCCCTGGGCTGATGGCCCCAGGTGCTGGAAGAGAGCAGGCTGAGCAATCGAGTCATGGAGGCAAGCCGGTAAGCAGCATCCCTCTCTGACTCTACATCAATTCCAGCTCCCAGACTCCTGCCCTGACTTTTCTGAATGACAGACTCCAAGCTATAAACTGAAATAAAACTTTTCCTCCCAAGTCGATTTTGCTCAAGGTGTTTATCACAGCACTGGAAGCCCTAACCAAGGCATGTTTTGTTTTCGTGAGTTTTTGTTTGTTTGTTTGTCTAAACTCTCTCTAAATGTTATACATGATTTAGAATCATGAAACTGGTAAGGCTGTCTGTCCTTCTGGGAAGATAAGAGGTGCAGAAAGAAAGCCATTTTTAACCCTTACACTCCGAGGTCGGCCAGTGTCTCATGGACAGGGACCCTTACTAAGTCACCTGGCCTCTTGATCAGACAGGCCATGGAGTCTCTGGCACTTGGATTCTGATCCATGTACATTTCACAGGGAGGAGAAACAATGGAGCGAGACGTGCTTCCTATGCTTCCAGAGGAAGGTACATACATGGTCAGCAGGGCTCTGACCCATTCCTGCAGAGACAGGGCTGACAGAGGAAAGCTAAGGGAGTCAATGGGTCATTCCTAAATCCCCAAGAGGAACACATACAGAGTCTCAATAGACTTGACAAACAAAAAGATTTATCTTTGGCCACCTACATGGTCTTAGACACCCAAAAGGAAAGTATAATCAAAAGAACTGCCATTCAGGCCATTCAGACAGCCAAGCTTAACCAGTTTTAAAAGGAGACTGTTAAATCCCATAAAGTTACTAACTGGGTTCACTTGTTCAAGACTAAACCTTATTTTTCAGGAAGCATCTAAAGTTTAAAAAAAAACAAGGGAGACTAGAAATATAAACCAACTGGGGACATATATTTTGCCTTCAAAAGGGACCCTCAAATGTCAATCTCAAGAAAAAGCCAGATGTGATGGCACATACCTTTAATCCCAGAACTGGGAGCCAGGGAATAGAGGCAGGCAGATCTCTGTGAGCTCAAGGCCAGCCTGGTCTGGTCTATAGAGTGAGTTCCAGGACAGCCAGGGCTATTTAGAAAGACCTTGTTTCAAAACAAAACAAAACTTGGGTCCATCAGGCAAAGTTTTTCTTGAACATTCCCTGACTCTATTGATGGTTAAGCAGGTTTATTTCTTTCATAATCCATCAAATTATTCCTGAAACGTCATATCCTACACTATTGCTCTCTGTTCTTTTGCTTGGAAGCCTCACCTGAAGGAATCCTGCCCTGCCCTAGACTCTAAGAGGAACTCCAAATGACTGTCTCAATGGGGTTTCTGCAGTCTATGTCTGCTGACTGAGCATCCAGTTAGATGATGCTTTGCTGTCTATCTAGCCAATCTGTCTGTCTATCACTTGCTATTTATTCTTTTACTTTGGTTTGATATATACTTAATAAACTCACTCATTCAAATCCAGGGAAAGCAAAGCTGTCTTATTAAGTTCTCTTAGTGTATTAGTCAAAGTCTCTAGAGGAATAGAATAAATACACATATATATAGATATAGATATACATATATTATATGTATATACATATATATACATACATACATGAGGCAGACACAGGGGTCACACAAAGCATGATTTTTGTTACTGGGCAGCACAACAGAGGACCAGTCAGGGACAACAGTACAGATTTGGAAGCTGACTACATCCCCAAATGCTCACATTGACAAGTGTTTAAGTGCAAAAACCACAAACATCTGTGAGAGGTTACAGTTATATTTTCCCACCAATCAGGATTCAAAGATTAGGGACTTTCCTAGGAGCATTGCTCATTGGTACTTTTCTTGCTCTCATTGGCTCGTTCACCCAAGTGCCAGCTTGCCTACCAGTCATGCCTCAACGTGCCAACCAGGATGTCAGTTACCCAGGGAGGTCTTGGGAACTTAAACTTTGTTTCTGAATAAAATACCCTTCTGCTTTGCTATTTGATTATGCTTCTTTAATTCTTTGAACCACATGCCTGGAAACACCTGAGCCAGACAGAGTCTCCTAGCGATATCACTTTGTAGCCTACACTGGCTTTCTGCCTGATCCTCTCAGATGTTCACAAGTATAGTCAGCTAATGAACACTTCAGACATTCTAAGAGCTATTATACAAAGAAAGTTGGATAAAGGCCAAGTGTATACTCTATTATGCTTCAGATAGGTGTGGCTATGTGAAAGAGGGAAGTCAAAATAAAGCTTGTAACTATTCCATCTTCTTTTTACTCTACCACCTATACATCAACAAAGTCAGAGAGCATTGCCTGACCTCTCTGTTGTGGAGTACCCACCACAGAAGACCACTTGGACACATATTTAAACAAATATAAATCTTTATTAGCCAACCAGAGACTACACTAGGTGTTCCAGATCTCAGTGTAGCCTCAAGGTGAGCTTTTAAGCACAAAAAAAAAACATGTTCTGGGTTGACATACTTCAGTTAACAAGAACAGTTAGCAGAACTACAGAAGCCAAAAAAAGCAAGGTTAGAACATTTAGAGACTTTACCAGAACTATGGACTTTGATGGGTTAGTTCTCTGTTTTCATTTTGGCAGGTGGCATTGCCCACATGCTGAGTTTACAGCTTGAATGGTACTTCCATCATGGAGTCAGTTGTGCTAGTTCTCGGAGGCTTACTAAGGTCTGGAACCCCGTTACACCCTCCATAACTTCACAGGTGTCAGAAAAAGTAAGGTGCAGAGAATGGACGGTTAAGCTCTTCGATGTCCCCCAAGAATGGTGAGTCAGGAAACAGGAAGTGTGAGTGCCTGACAGAAGCTCTGGGTTCTGGAGCCGAGGGTACATGGTCTTCACCAACCTCATCCATCTGCCTCCTGTGTCTTGGTGTCAAAGTGAAGAGTTCCAGGAGTTCATGCTCATCATCCTCATCGCTGCATTCTGAGCCCTCACTGCTGACCACTGCACAGCAACACAAAACCCCTTAGGGCTCTCAGTGAATGACCCCACTGCACAGCAATATAAAACCCCTTAGAACCCTCAGTGAATGACACCACTGCACAGCAATACAAACCCCTTAGAGCCCTCAGTGAATGACCCCAAAGCTGACTCAACTGGAACCCCAGAACACAGGCACAGGAAGGATCCAGAAGCTTGGGTAGTGTTTAGGTAGCAATGCCTCTGTCTTAGCTGGTCCCTCCACAGTGTTCTACTCACTGTTGACTTTGAGGGACACTCCTCTGGCTTTGCTTGTCTCAAAGCCCTGCTTGCCACATCTCAATCTGTTTATGGTCCTTTCCCCCTTTCTGATGGCTTCTACCTCTGCCTTCTCTCACTCCATGAATCTCCAGTGCTTTCTGCTTCTGCCTATTTTGTCTCCCCCACTACCCACACACACCTGGCTTCCTTGTCTAACACATTTCCTTGTGGCTGTTCCCTCCCAGATCTCTTAAAACTGTACCATTGCCTATCTGCTTTCCCAGGATAAGAGTACCAGAGCCCACAACTCCCTGAATCTATCTGGGGCTCCCAGAGCCACTGAGCATGGCTCTGATCACACACTCAACCAGTTACCTCCACTATGACTTAGATGGGTCACCCATCCCCACAGGCATCTTAAGTTATCCTTACCAATGACTTCATCCTCTTGGTTCTGTATTGTCCCTGGCTTCTGTGGGTTTTCTTGTTTCAAAAAACAAGGCCATGTCCAGTTTTCATGTGTGTGTAGCTTTGTCCCTGAAAAAGAAGAGAATGCTATTGAAGCATTCTCATCCACTCCTTTGAAAAGGCTTCATGCAACCCTGTTCTCCCTCCCCTGACACTTGACTAAGGAGCAGAAGAACAGCACTAAACTTTTACTGCTTTGCCAGGCATAGTGACTCACACCTGTTATCGCAGAACTTGGGAGGTTGAGACAGGAGGGTCAATCATGCGGTCAAGACTAACATGGCTACGTGTAACAAGACCTGGTCTCAAAGAGAAAGAGGAGGAAGGAAGAGAAGGGAGGGAGAGAGGGAGGGAGGGAGGGAGGGAAGGAGGGAGGCAGGGAGGCAGGGAGGCAGGGAGGCAGGGACGGAGAGAGGAGAGAAGGGAGGGAGAGAGGGAGGGAGGGAGGGAAGGAGGGAGGCAGGGAGGCAGGGACGGAGAGAGGAGAGAAGGGAGGGAGAGAGGGAGGGAGAGGGAGGGAGGGAGGGAGGGAGGGAGGGAAAGAAGAGAGAAGGGAGGGAGGGAGGGAGGGAAAGAAGAGAGAAGGGAGGGAGGGGGAGGGAGGGAGGACGGAAAGAAGGAAGGAAGGAAGGAAGGAGGGAGGGAGGGAGGGAGGTAGGAAGGAAGGAAGGAAGGAGGAAGGAAACAAACTTCCCACTTTGTGTTCTATCTCACCCTACAGTACACCTTCCTTTCTTCAGTCCTCAAGTTCTTTCTCACTGCTCTGACACCATCTTTATCTGTTCTCTCTCTCCCTCTCCCTGTTACCATCATTTGCCAACTAATAACTATCTCAGCTAAAGTTTGTATTCCTGACATAATTAGCTTAATTTTAGCTCTGTTAAGACCTGAAGTTCTCCTGCCTGGTGTGGTGGTACATGCTTTTAACCTCAGCTCTCAGGAGGCAGATGCAGGTAGATAGAGATAGAGTTTTAAACCAGCCTGGTCTACAGAGTGAGTTCCAGGACAGCCAGGGCTACACAGAGAAACCCTGTCTTGAAAAGAACAAAGCTGGTGGTGGTGGCACACGCCTTTAATCCCACACTTTAAAGGCAGAGACAGGTGGATCTCTGTGAGTTCAAGCCTAACCTGGTCTATAGATCAAGTTCCAGGACAGCCAGGGTTGTTACAGAGAAACCCTAACTCAAAAAACCAAAACAAACAAACAAAAAAGATTTAAAGTTGTCAACTTACAACTGTCCCATTCTCCAATTCTGTATCCAAAGATTCAACCAACCATGGATCAGAAACACTCGGTAAAATACTTTGCATCTGTACTGAGTATGAGCACATTCACTTCTTGTCACTATCCCCTAAACAAAGGAACAAGGCAAGTATTCATAGTATATTTCTATTACACATCGTGGACAATCTAGAAGTGACTGAAAGTAAATAAGAGGATGTGTGTAGGTTACATTAAAGATTTGAGCATCTGTAGGTTTGAAAACCCAGGAAGAGAATCTGTTTCCCCATGGATACTGAGAGAGGGCCATCTGCATAAATGTAATTCTTACAACTGTTTTTGCAGTTTTCAACTTTTGTTAGTTTTGTATTACATCTGTGTGTGTGTGTGTGTGTGTGTATGTGTGTGTGTATGCACACATGAGTGCATGTGGAAGTCAGAGAGCAACCTTCAGGAGTCAGTTCTCAATTTTTACCATGTGAGTTCCAAGGATTGAACTTGGGTTGTCAGGCTTGGTGGCAAATGCCTTTTCCTCCTGCACCATCTTGCCGGACCTGAAGCCTTCCAGCAATATCACGGTACCAAAATGCATGTCCAATGTTGAAGGTACAGAAATAGCGCTATCACGTGACAGATCTTTCGATACATTCAGGTCAGGTCATGTTCACACAGTGGGAAAACTGATGGGGCCTGGATGCTGATGGAAAAAGACTCAAGAGGACTCCTGGGCTTCCTGCTTGAAGACCTGGACATCTATCCACCTTAGGAAAGAGGGATCTTTGGCAGAGAAGGAGGGGAAGATGGAGGCAGGAGGGTTTGTGAAGAAGCGATGCTCAGTTTGATGCACTACATTTGAGATCCCTGGCTGAGAAGGCGGGTCTGTGCTCACCCCGGGAGGCTATAGGAACATCCACCTCAGGTCAGAAGGGAGGCTGGCTACCCATCCTCACACCACAGGGGCATCCCAGCAGCTGGTTGCAGAGGTTGCCTTGGCAACTGAATAAGCTGTCTAAGCTGGAAGGTTGTGATGACATTCGCTCAAGCTGGACTGAAGCGGGGCATCCAGAGAAGCCGCAGAAGTTAATGGTTGTTATGGCAATGAGGGTCACCCCAGCAGCCACAGAGGCTGGAGGAGATGCAGCTGCCAGGATCACAACCCAGCCAGGTGCAGCAGGGTGGCCGTGATGATGTCTGGCCCTGAATCCTGCTCACAGGCCGGGCTATCATGGCTGTCTAGACTCACTGAAGGGTAGTGCTGGCTGCTGTCAGTCAAAGGTCTGGGTGTTATGGCTCCAGCTTCCCCACCCTAAGTAGTTTCAGCATCACACATAAAAACATCCTATATTTAAGAAACAGAGGTGATCAGGAAGCACACACACACACACTTTGGGGAAAGGCTAGGCCTCTTCCTGTTCTATCTCACCCACAGGGTCCCACCCTCCCTTCCTCCTCCTAGAGGTCTTCTGCAATGATCTTTCTACTTGCCAGTCTGAGGACCACACACATTTTCATGCTTCAGTAGTGACTAACTACCCAGGATAGACTACCCAGGCTTACCAATGTCTGCCAAGCTGGGAAAGCAAGAGCAAAGTTACCTCTGTAACTCACTACTTGATGATTTGTCTGTGTTTTCTATCCTCATCCTCTGTTGCTCTCATCCTCTACTTGGGTCTCCTTTGTCCCTTCCCTCCAGGCAGGATGACAGTAGCAAGCAGACAACAGCAAGTAAGAGGCTACAAGGGGCCAGATTTAAGGAGAAGACCCTGTCTGTAAAGTGATGCAAGAAAGAAGCTCTATAGTGTTAGATGATGGGCTTCTAGCTTCTCCCGGGCCTCAGAGAACTTGCCTCCCTCATATCTTAGGAAGCAGCTAGCTCCTCAGGTGTGTGACAGAGGCAAGGGGCGAGTGAGGGGAAAGCAAGTATCTCCTCCTTCCACATAACAACCTAACATGCAAGTCGTCTACAGTGTGAGATGTCGGCTGGTATGGACCCACTGGAGAAGAAAACCAATTCCTGCAAGTTGTCATCTGACCTCCACACGCGTGCTATACTACACATGTACCCACACACACATTATCCACACAGACAATAATAAAAATATCAAAGTAACTTTTAAACGTGTGAGTCAACCCAATCCTTTGCCTTTGCATTCATGTAGATGTAAGAAGGGGGTGGGGGTCTTGTCTGACCTTCCCTCCTTTTAGAGTTGGAGAGCATTAAGTTTACTCGGAACTGAAGAAACAGAAAATAAGAGGGGTCCCAGGCACCTTGGCTGGGGAAGTGTGACAATCCTGACCTTGGGTGTTTGAAGCTGCAGTGAGCTGCAGCTCAGGAGAAAATACTGCCCTCTGAGGACCCCAGCTCTTCTCCTCTCTTGCCACTCTTTCTCTCTTCCCAGCTTCCATCGGGATCCCATCTACAGGTGCTGCAGCTTCTCCCACAGAGAGGTGTTGATGTATTTTGGCTCCATCGACTTCTAGGGCCAACCCCATTTCTGTCTTTCCTTCCCCTCCAGAGGGACTTCCCAGGCCATTGATCACTGTCTCTGTTTCTCATTTCACTACTGTCCCCAAGCCTCTATTTCTATGATTGTCCTCACTCTATTACTTATGTCATTGTCTCCTTGCTGTGGACATTGTTCCGTTCTGCTGTGGGGAATAGCAAAGACACCACTGCTGCTCTTGGATATGTGGGAGACACCCACCACCCATCACCCATGCAGATACCAGACTGTCCCAGTCTCACCTGATTGGGCACATTCATAGTTGGTTCGATGAGACTCATACGGATGAAAAATCGAGTGGTCTGTGTTTGGGTACTTAGACCTCAAATCGCATGTAGACTCTGGAGATCTTCTTCTCTTTTCAGATTGGATGGACCCTGGACAGCAATGTGCTTTTATAAACACGACATTCTGACATCATGAATAAGAACCTGAAATTTGGGACTAGAAAGATGACCTGGGGTTAAGAGTGCTGACTGCTCTTTCAGAGGACCTGGGTTCAGTTCTGAGCACCCACACAGTAACTAACTCCAGTTACATAGGTTTCTGGCAAGCAAAATACATATACATGTAAACATGAATAAATAATAAACCTTCAGCTTTTTAGTTAAGTGCACTAATCAATTAAACAGACAGGTACAGAAACCCTCCTAGACAATCCAGAGGATAAAGACCCTGGAATTTAAGCCCTGAACTTGGAGAAATGACATATGCAAACACTGAGCACTCTGGACAGTCAGTAATACAAGCACATGGCCCAAATCACGTGACAGAATGGGATGCGACCACACAGGCACAGAACAGACCATCAGATGAGGTGGGATCTGAAGGTGTCCTGGTCAGACTTCCCAGAGAACAGCTGTCACCAGAGCCTATGGAGCAAAAATTAGATGTTTATTTCAGGAGTTGAAGTAGGGGCTCTCTTCTGTCTTCATGACACAAGGACTGAAGGGCCTCTTGAAGCATCAATCCAGAGCCCGTCCGGCCATGAGAAGTTCCCCCTGATTCTTGAGGTCACACTCGGGTCACGAGAGTAGGGTGCAAGGCTCACAGCTGGCTGAGTAGAGTCCTCCCTGGGCCACTCTAGCCCTGGTGGCGACTTGACTTCATATCGATGGCCATAGGATGCCCCAAGGCACACTCCAGCTGGCCTTTTCATGAGTGTTCAGAGACATTCTCGGCCACTTCAGCTCTTGCTACTCTTTGTCTCCAGAATCTTTCTCTCTGTATGTGTTCCCTGCTTTTGTTGCCTGTTTCTGCCTTTTCCAGTATTTGCCTGGGTAGCCACACAGGCTCTGGGTTCTAAATGCCTTGTCCACGAAAACTACATG